AAGACGCGACAGAACAGCCACGCAGTCGAGGAGGCCGAGGAGATAATTGTGTGTAGTTTAGAGACTATTCGCCGGGCCGAAGAGGAGTAGAACCATCAGATTGGTATGTAGATTGCTTGCAAATTGGATGAGCTAGATGTCTTTTATTATGGTGGTGATGGTGGTGCCAAAATTCCATTGTGGGGTCAATTCCGCTGTTGGGTCCACACGTCTAGGTTCCTAGCTTCCTTCACCACTGCTGCGCAGCACCAGTTTCCCTGATCCTCCGCCTCGATTTCCTTTCTGATGTCCGCCACCTGGACGTTGCCCTTTTCTTTCTCCTCCACTCTGAATATATCGATTGCGTAACACAGCGTGTCGGTAGAAGACGAGGGCGTCGTGTTTCGCGAGGAGAGGGTGCGTATCCCGCTTGGTTGGCTTGATGGCGGGGGCGAGCGATTTTGGCGTACAATCTGCTCGCGCTTGCCTGAGCTGTGGCTGTGACGTTCGCATTGCGTTGAAGGGTATCGATCTGTTCTTGCACTTGTCTCAGTTCTTCAGACAACTGGGTCCTGGTGTCTGCTAGTTAGTTAGCGATGTAGTTCTCGAATCGCATCATGCTGCTTGCTGATCAAATCGCGTAATTCGCAAATCGTGGTACGTTGCTCGGTAATCGTTTGGTGCATCTCATCTCGTTGTTCATGGATCGCCTCCAGAAGCATCTGTGAACCTGACTTCCCCATTGTCCGGCCGTTGGCTCCATGCCCGGTTCCTGACGCGCGGGTCCCCCTGGACACGACGGTCCGCGTAGCATCGCTCGTAATCCTTTTCGACGTGGTAGTTGCGTCGGTCGATCAATTGCATGGCTTCCCGGACTTTCGCACTCGGCTTCGGGGCGCGGATCGGCCGTTTCGGTGGAGGTGGATGGTCGGCCACACCCCAACCACGATTTGGTCCTGCGCCGACGCTGCCATCTCGCAGTCCCTCGGCGGAGCCACTTGACCTTCTTCCCTTAAGAATGAACCTGAAACAGAAATCGGAACTGTCTAGTCGCCCGTATTCGAGTCGGAGTGACGAGTCCCAACTACTTCATCGTTGGCCGCACATACGCGACCCGCTCACGCGAGTTATTGGATGCCTGCTGGTGACTTGCGCCGCAAGTCTTCCAATGCGCGGTCATGTCGTCCATGATTCGTACAATGGATTCCACGTGAACTCCACCTGAAAAGTCGCTGCCCCGTCCACCCAAAAACGCGCTTAAGGACTGCTTCAAGTGGCCGTCTCTCAAAGCTTGCGAAAGCGGCCTCGACTGTCTCCTCTTCCAAAGCGGACCCCCTTGAAAATCGCGGCTTTAAAATCCTACGCTGACTTCGGCGGCGCTTTGGGCCTTATGTTGGTGGTGGTATTTGAGTCTGTAGTGATCGGGAGTCGGTGCGACGCAGACATGTCTGCCGCTTGGGCGCTGTTCTGCGGTTGCTGGGGCCGGAGTGTTGACCCTGCAACGGTTCCCTCGTGGCGGCCGAACGACATCCTTCTCCTTGCCCTGCTTGGTGTTACTTCCCGCAATGGGAGGGTAGTCCTCCTCGTCGTCGGTATCGCAACGACGTAGACGACAACCAATGTGCTGAATGTTGACCTGGCTTTGGCTGGCGGATGGCTGTATAGACGGAGCGGTAGTGGCCAGCTCACCTTCGTTGCCGCTCTGATCGCCCAACAAACTTGGCATACCTGCCCAACCCTCCTGCGTTTGCGGCGGCACGACGGAACTCTCTTCATCCTGCTCTCCTCCGTTGTCCGGAACCTGAGGATAGCGATGTTCTGGGTCGCTTGCTCGAACGCTGTGACCACGCTGATGGTGCCGAGAGAGGTAACAGCTATCGGACCGCTGCTCTATATCAGCCTCGAGGTTGGGGGCGGCGCTGCCTGGACTGTAGACCGAAGGCGTGGCGTGCATCCGCTAGCTCGAGTTCGCTAATGCCATCAGCATTCGGCAATGTGGGTGTGCTTGCCCGGCTCCCCCCCGCTTGTGGCGGTACGACAGGACACACTCCATTCTGATCTTGGTCGTCTGGAACCGGATGACGGGGTTCTGAGTTGCTCGTCTGATCGCTTTCGCCGTGATAGAGGCAGCGGCTATCGGACGTCTGCTGTAGCTCACTCCCACGACTGGAGGCGGCCCGGTGTGGACGGTGGCCGACAATGAGGGTCTAAGGTAGACTGTGACTGATCGGCTTCTGCACCGTTGTATTCGCTCTTGGCGGCACGTCTCTTGTAGTGTGCTACTGTTATTTGCCAAGACGGCAAAGCGCCTTGCAGGAATGCCGGCCGCCAGTGCGCCTCCTTTTAACCGGGCCGTCTCCTCCCTTCTCCTTGGTCGAGTGCAGTAACAACTTTCGTAATCTGGGACAGATAACGGCTATTGCTGTATTCGTTGTAGCTTCGTCGTACCGGGCGATCGCGCCGTTAAGAGTCTTGATTCTTCTCCCTCACAACTGGGCAGGGTTGTCGGTACCATATCTGTTCTTCAAATCGCCAAAAGGGTCAGGTGGTTTTCATACCTAGTATCCCTCCAATGTTGTAAACCCGTCGTGGCTTGTTATCCTGGTGTTTTGCTAACGTAATCGTGATCGTCGGGCAGGACGGTGAGGAATTGTCGGGCACTCGAGAATCTCATCTCTGGCCCTTGAAATTGACGTCTTCGCGGCCAGTCGGCCGGTAATCAGCGGATATGGCTTTGGCCATGTCCCCTCCCTTTTTGTGCCATGATGTGCTCAGACATGTGACCAAGACTGCTGCGCCACTCCAACGTCGCCTGAAGATTGGCGGAAATCTCGTTGCCGGCTCGGAGTTGCTGTCCCTGAAACGTGCCTGGTCGTAGAACGCCTCGTCGCATGTAGTTCCCAGGGGTAAGGGGTGGGACGAGACATTAATTCAAAATGGGATGCAACTGAGGTCAAATAGTGCCCTTCCGAAGACGAGATCTGTCTACCAGGTATGGTCGTATGTGGAGAGTGTGTAATTATTACGACTGTAGCTTGATCTGCAACAACATGAAGTCAGAATGGTAGCACCCAAAACATAGTCGACTATCACCAATCCTGAGTATAGACTTATTTTCAAAAGAGCCGTATAGTTACCCTCCGTCGCTGAAACGCCGAAGCCGGTGAGCCTCCCGAACTCAGCAAAGTCCGTCGGGACCATGGAAGTGGGTTCACCGAGTGGACCCCAGCCCGTTGATCAACGAGCAAATCTGCTGTGGCCCAATTCTCCATCTCCGGAATCGGCCCATCGGACCCTAACACACAAGCATCATGGACAGTCCGTACCGTCGTGAGCTGGAGGTCGCCATTGCAGCGGCCCAAACAGCAGCCCGCATCAGCCGCGAGGTCCTCTCCACCGCCCAGGCCGACGCCACGGCAGGAACCTTTGATCTCGTCAAGGACGACCTCAGTTTCGTCACCGTGGCCGACTTTGCCATCCAAGCCCTGCTCACCCGCACCCTCCAAGCCGCCTTTCCCGACGACGGCTTCATAGGCGAGGAATCCGCCGACGAGCTCCGCCAGAACCCGAAGCTGCTCGCCCGGGTGCTCGCCGTCCTGGCGCAATGCGCTTCCGAGACTCTGTTCCACGACGCCAACGACCTCTGCAACGTCATTGATTCTTGCACCACGCTCATCCCGGGAGCAAGCCCAGGAAGAACCTGGGTATTTGACCCCATCGACGGCACAAAGACCTTCATTCGGCGCGAGCAGTACGCCATAAATATCGCCCTGCTCGACGAAGGGGGCCGCCAGGTCCTGAGCGTTGTGGCCTGTCCGCTTCTCGCCGTAAATCATGATATCACCACTCCGCTGACCGACACTTCCATCGACCCGACGGGGCGAGGGTCTCTCCTGTATGCCGTCCGAGGACACGGAGCGTATATCAGGCCACTCTTGTTGCCCGGCGCAGCTGACTCAGACAACGACATGATCAATTCCCACACCCGCAAACTCCCTCGACATGCCGACACCGCCACCTCTACCACCGACCTCCGCTCCGTAACCTGCTGGACCCAGCTCGACTCCGGGCTCGGCGCGGTGCACCAGGCCGTCGCCTCCCAACTTTCCACCCCTTTCCCAGGCAGCGACCTGCTCGGCTGGGTCCCGCGCTGGGCCTGCCTGGCCCTCGGCGCCGCCAACATGACAGTGTGGGTGTACCACTCGCGCAGCCGCCGCGCAAAGATATGGGACCACGCGGGGGCCATGCTGCTCGTCGAGGAGGTCGGCGGCAGGATCACCGACGTACACGGCAACGAGATCGACCTGACGGCCGGGCGCAAACTCGAGCGCAATTTTGGCTTCGTCGCCGCTCCCACGAGTCTCCATGCCATCGTACTCGAAACGGTCCACGACACTCTCCGGGCGAGCGGGAGGGAGGAGCTGCTGCGGTAGTAATTAGTAGTTTGGTGGTTTGTAAAGCTGCACGTCAAACAAGTTGTTAGTGTTGGGTGTCACAGCATCTCTTGACAGCGACCGAGTTTGCGTAACCACGTCCCTCGCTCTCCTGAGCAAAGGTCAACCAGGAGTGGGCAGGACCGTTTCCCTCCCCCCCCCCCCCCCCCCCCCTCCCCTCCTCCTCCTGCTGTCCGACGGTCCACTCCTCACCAGCTTCTGAACGGTCAAGACGTGGGATTTCCATCTCAAACCAGCGACCTGAACTCGTCATGTTGGTGCTCTATACATACAGACCATAGACTTTAGCTACTCGTGGTCCGAAACCGGACTCCCAGTGCAGAACACAGAAACCTCAAGGGGAATTTTGCACAGCAGCAAAGAAAAGCACTCGGCGACTGCTAATTGACACCAGACATGCATTGGAAGGACAGATGAAGCCGAGCAAAAAGACCCTCTATGAAGCATTGGAACGAAAACACCTTTGCAAAACCATGATCAAACATCCACAAGGCCACACACATCCATGAAGACAACGCCAGGTAAATTACCCAAATAGCAGCAGATTTATTAAGTAAGATCCCGGGGCGCGGCCCAAACACGCCAGTGCTGAGATAGCCATCCAAAGGCAATCATGTGGCGGATCCATCCATCAAGAGCAAAATAACTTTTCCGTCTTCTCCCATAATCACTCGCCCGCCGGCCCCAGTTAAAGCTGGCCACCGCTGCGTCCACCACGCCCGAACTGTTGATGCCAGCAGCCGCCTGCCCAGTAGGTCACAAACCAAAGGGCCGAGCGCGGCGCATTGGCGGTATTAAGATGAGTTCCGTGCCGCTGTGTCTTCTTCCTTAGCCTCCAGGAGACGGCAGTGGCAATAGCCCGTCTCCAAAGCGAGGTGTCATAGCCATTTTAGACATGACGTCGTAACACCATAACATTCATAAAAGCCAGGTAATCGCCAACAAAAGCCTTGTGATCGTCGCGTCCTCCTTGCTTGAACTTCTGTCAGCCCGCACGAGGACGGATTCGGGGCCAGAAGCCTGTCAGCGATCAAGCCATCCACTGCCGCCGCGGCCGCGGTCCAGAGTGTAAGAACTGTTCAACGGACTCTGACCAAGCCGGCTAGCTGGATTGATGATGGCTGCCAATGCGACGTCTAGGAAAGTCGCGTATACCCAAGTCCTTCATCTTCGTCCATATCTCTTTGCGCGTCTGGTTGTCGTCATCATTCAAGGAGGGTATATGTGAGGCTCGGGGGAATCGGTTGATGAAATCGATGAGCAGGGGGCTGAGTGTACACTAATGCAATAGTTGCTGATGGATCAAGCTCGTATCTTTGAAACTCTGAGACGGAAATCTCCAACCCAGGAAGGGAGGGGTGAACGAGCCGGAGGGAAGCGCAGATTGCTCCAGGGAATCGAATAACAATATTACAGAACCGATAGATTTGTGGGGCATCGCAATGTGTGTGGGACGATACTGAGGTCGGCACGCCATCCAACGGCACCCGGCGCCAAGCTGGTGGGCCTTCCGGATTCTTCAAGAAACGGAATCGGGAAGGGGGACGCCTGTCATCATCCATCATGTAAGAGAACGGACAAGTGGCGGGGATCCATATTGGATATGGCAGCAACTGCTCTTGGTAGGCGGTTCTCCGGAAGGAAAGCCACCTTAGTTCTTGGAATGCCGGTAAGTGTCTTCATCGGAGCTGGTTGCCGCAGGACAGGGAGCGGCGCGAATCCCCTACTGGAATCTCGACGCCGAGGAAGACGTGCGTACTCCGTTATCAGACGAGTCTGGGCATATTAGAATGAGGCCTCATTCGCGTTCAGGCACCGTGGTCAAGTAAGGTGAATCACGTACCGCTGCTCCGCTGGAGGTGGCCGTTTGTCCGACCGCGTCCCCCAAAGCCTATCTTCTCGCCCCATTCACCGCTAGGCCCGTGGGGCTGTCGCTCGGGCACGCTTCGGGTGCTGGGCCCATTCAAGCTGGGCCGCTGGCTACCAATCGCACCGGGAGTCTCCCGGGGTCGAAGCCGGTTGCCGTTGAATGGCTCGCCCAGGTTCATGGACCCGAGCTCGTTGATCAACATGGACGGGTCGTTATTCGAACTGGTGCCTGGCGTGGTCGGCGTGGTCAGGGCGCTGGGCTGACCGATGCTGGCGCTGTACTCGCCAAACTGTGCCACGTTTGGAGCGTGCATGCTGCCACCCTGGGGATATCCCGATGCGGTAGAAAGGGACGGGCTCGGGGTGTAAGATCGGAGATCGGCGAACGACTTGACCCCGCGCAGCGCGTTCAGACCCCCGTCAGGGCTGTCTGGGAGTTCGAGTGTCGGACCGTGGCGCCCTTGCCTGCCGAGTGTGTTGTACTGACCCGGCGCGTTCCGGGTCTCGGCAAAGTCGATGGTGGCGGCGCGACTCAGGCCCCGACGATGGGCATCAGCGGAGACGCCTGGCGGGATGTGAATGGCTGGTGCGACCGCCGCGTCTTTGATGACATGGATCTGCCTGTGCTGTCCCTCACCCACCGATCGGTGTTCAAGACCCATGTTGTGTGCGAGTATGTGAACAGTCCGCCGCTGCTGAGGTGTGATGGTGCTGGGGAATACGATGATCTCGCGGCTCGGATCGCTCTTGAAGAGCATCAACTCGGTGTAGAAGTTGAGCGTCTCTGGGTTATTGAGGTCCACATCCCCTGCGGTGGGATAGGCCGGGTTAGTAGCCGCCCTTTCCGCAGCAGGTGCCCTTGTTGATGACTTACGCAGCGGCGAGTTCCGAGACCTCGACGTGTGTGCGGCGTTCAGCGAGTGCATCGAGGATTGGGAATGAAGGGGAATGGGCTGGTGCTGCTCCTCAAGCTGGCCGCGCTTCTCGCGCTTTTCCCGCTCAATCCTCTCCCTCTCGTGCTCCGGCAGCATCTTCTTGTACTCGACCCTCAGCTTCCTGCCTTGAACCTCGTAGCCATTCAACTGCTCGATCACGGTCTGCGTGTCAACCGGATTCTGGAAATTGGCGAAAGCGAGGCCGCGGAAGATCCCGTTGTCGAAATGGTAGTTGAAAGCATAAGGCTGTGGCAGGCCGAGTTCCGACATGATCGAGGTGAGCATCTCCTTCCGCACATTGAACGGTATGTTCTTGATGACGATGGCGGTCGGGATCAGATCGTTGCCCAGGGCCTTTGGCTCATGACGAGCGTCGTATATGTTCACCGGGTAACCGTGGCGTTCGTTTGGAAAAGGCCCCCCATCGCCGTTCATAAGATTCATGGCCGGATTGAAGCCTACACCGGCAGGATACTGTGCTGAAGGAACGGGAGGAAGGGGCTGATTTCCGAGCCCGGGCTGCTCGGGCATGGTCCATTCCTACATGTCGTGGCCAAAAGAGTTAGCGTAGAGTTCGTGTTTTCTGTCGGAAAGACACAAGGTAAAGGAGAGGGGGCACCAACCGGCGGGATGGCTGCTCTACGGGCCCCTGAGCGTAGCCTACCCTCGCCCAAAGCTCCCGTGACGGTGCTTGCGCCCGAATTGTAAGCCCAAGCCTGTGCATTCCCAACGAAGTTGTCTGCACCAAAGGCCGGCGAAAGCTGCATCCTGCTGTGTCGAAACGCGTTGCTATCGTACGTGTTGAAGCGGTCATCGGCAGCAAAAAGAGCGGTGGGTGCTTGGCCGACAGGGTCCATCTGGCGCTGGTCGAGACGATTGAGGCCCGGGTGGCCGGTAGTGGTATTGTAACCCGGCCGGGAGGAGCGGGGGGACCGGTTCGCAGTGCTCATCGCATACGCCGGGAAGTAGAGATCGGGTTGTTGGTTCATCTTTTGAGGCTAGCTGGTGTTGGGGACAGGCGACATCAAGGCCCAGCAGACCGGATATCCCCAGGGGCCGCGGTATTCGTCGTCGCCGGGGAGGGGGATCGATGCTTCTGTCAGACGCAAGGCGGCTTCGAGTGCGGACTCGAGCGATTCGATCGTATCGTACAAGTATCTGGATCCGAGGCCTATTGGGGGCTGCCGCTTCTGCAAGGGTCCAGCTCCGTCGAAGTGCAGATTCTTTTGGGTGGGGATGGGATTGAGTTTTCGATTATGCAGAGCGAGCTGCAGTGTCGATGGAGAAAAAAAAAAGTGACGGACAACGAAGCTCTCCACAGGACAACACCGAGACGTCTCCAGGAGGCGGAGACGGTGAAAAAACAACCGAAAGGGACGCGAGCAGGTGCGTATCGAATAAATATCTCTAGGTCATCACGTCGTCTGCAACTTCGTGGATGTCGTGAAAGCGGTGCGTCAATAGGGGCCCCCTAAAATCGAAATTGGAGGATTCCAGTTGGAGAATTGGGTTGAGAAAGGGAGACACGGGCTGCGGGCGCCGAGAGAGTGAAGTGGCGTGGCAGGTGCACTCCTGTCGAAGCTCAGAGCTGAAGAAGGAGAGGGCGGTCTGATCACTCTCTGATGCGAGCAACCTCTTTTTCTGTGCGAGGGAGGGGAGGTCCACCCTTTCACCCCAGTAACTACCTGAGGCTTCGCCAAGGGGGCTTGCAGCAACTTCCCTCGGGCTGCAGTGGCCGAGGTATTGGAAAAAGGGGATACCCGAGAAGCTCTACCACAACGATGAAATCTCAAAAGAAAGAACCCGTGCTTGCATAGAAAAGAAGAATATTGTTCTTTTGACTCTGTGTTGCCGTTCAGACGGTCGCCAGAAAATTCCCAAGCGCCTAAAAGGGGGGTTTCAGGGCCAAGGCGCACTTGCAATTGCGGGAAGAGACACCCGCAGTCGCTGCCTGTGGCTCCACACCACTAGTCCAAATAAGGGCAACGAACAAAGCAGCTGTTCCCAGTCACCTGGTACGCATTTCTGACGGAAGTGCTCCAAGTTGACCGTGATCTTGATCATCACGATGTGGATGGACGTCTTTTCAATGCATTTCTCTGCGGAATGACGACATGTTCGTTCACAGGCCATGAACTTACGGCAGACATCTGCGATGGCCCATTCAGTGGTTATTGGCACGTGTGTTCTGATTGCTTGCAGGCGTGCCTCGAGCAGCGAGAAATGGCCCAGGCTGCGTGTGGAACAAATACTCAATCCAGCATCGTTTGACCACCCTGCTATTATCTCATCCGAAGAACCAAGCATCGTCGGCGCATATCACACATGGCCAGTGCGATATGGCTGAGGAACCCCGGCAAAGAAACGAGCAGTGCCCGGCCAGGAACTGCCATTCAGAGCAGTTGACTTCCATCTCTGAATAACTAATTAACGTTATGTTCACTTCCATCCGATGACTCCCACAACCGTCATGGTTGTGAAAGGGATCAGGTAAGACTTTCTAATTGAGGCAAGCACCTCAGGTAGCCGCCGCCGCCCTGCGTATCGCTCCAACATCCTCCTCATGCCCTTCAGGGCCAGAGCATGTCTCAGGCCTCTTTTGGCTTTGCCATAGCTACTCAACTTGAAGGCCGTGATGCTAATCACCTTGCAGCCTTCATTCCAGACAGCTCGGCGCTTTTGGTAGATCAAACCGGGCTGGTTTGCAGACCATAGGCTTAAGGATGTACCAGATCACTGCAGGCGACCATGTTGAGGTGCTACGAAAGCAAGACATTTCATTCTTTGTAGGACTGTGTTGAACGCCGAGAGCGGGCCGTGCGATGGAGGGCATTGCAGAGATGGAAATAAATCATATGCACCAGGCAAAATGTTCCAGTAGGTTCTTTGATGTCTTGCACAATGCACCACTAGTGTCCAGTCCAGGTCGACCCTGATGGCAAAGGGTATCGACTCCGAAACGAACACCAGGGCAATGTTCCTTCGGGGAACAAAAGGCTCAACGGGATTGAACTATGGGTGGGATCGATTGCTGCTTTGTTTTTTCATCTTGCCACACCTGGGACCCATCAACACCTCAGCAATCATAAAGCTGAGCCACTGGTTGAACAACACTCTCTTAGGGACTGGGTCTATCTTGAGATTTTGTTTTATATATTGTCAGAGCTTACAGTTTGCATCGCCACAAAACAGTTCGGAGCTTTGGAAGCCTGATACTGCTCTTAGGAATCCCCCCTTCACTAGGTATCAAAGATGGGCCGCCGCACACCCAAGTTTGCCCCATGAGAGAGCCTTCTGTCTATCCTTGCGTTTGCTGCTACCAACGGGGACACATTACCGCCACCAGAATGCCATTACTACTTCCACAAATAATCTACACGATCAACAAGCACGAAGCCCAAGGACCATCCTATCCCGCCGCCGCCCCGAGCCCCCAATACTGGACTTGAAGGTGCCACAACTGCAACTACGACTTTTACCCCATGGATTGCACCCAGAAATGCCTGTCCTGCAGTCACCGACTCTGCTCAACAGGCTGTACCACACAGTTTGATCACCGCGGCTGGGCAGCCCGGGGTTCCTACAGACGAACTGTCGCCGCTAATAGTAGCGCTGGCGCGCGTGAGAGTACCAACTGGACAGCTTCCCGGAAGAGAAAGCGGAGCATTGACGATGAGGAGTTAGGGGCTCGAAAACATGATGACTCGGATCCTTTCGCCTGGTTCAAGCTAACCACCAAAGAATGGAAGCGCAGGAAGAATAGTCGACTCTCCAGTCTGAAGCCCTTGTGGAAGCCGCTGCCCGAGACTGCAAGCAACGAGGTAAGCCGTCGCAAGAGTGACATGCATCTCCAGGGCCGGTAGTACTGTTGGCGCCATTGCGATTGTCCAGGGAATGCTTTTTACGCTAAAGTCTTCCCCAATCTCAACTGAAGGGTAGGCGAAGAAAAAGTGTGAAAGTGCTTGCAAGAGCGCGACGCTGGCGAGTTCTGAGAAGGGGTACTGACAACCCCTGAGCTAGGTAAACAGCACAGAATTCCCTCTCCAAGTTGCATGATAGCTGGGAGACAAAAGGAAAAAAGTGAATCACTGCGGGGAAGAACGTTGGGTAATCGGACTCGTCCCGAAAAAAGTCCAATCACCTGGGAGCCAGACTCAGAGTCGAGCTATTACAATGACGACCCGGGGGTTCAGCCAGAGGCGGAGATGATACACAAACGAGAGCACACTTAGTCAATAGAACTAGACTGGGGGATAAATTAACGCATCCAGACTTTCTTACATCTTGCAAAGGCTACTCCTGATATATTTGGCCTTGTGAAGCGGCTGGGTACCATGTGCCATCTACCACTTTCGGGCTCGTGGAGGAGATTTAACTTCGTCCTATGAGACCGTCATGCGACGCGCCAACTAAAGCTCTGCTCATGGACAATAAAAGCGAGTGTAAAACCCGGTATTGTGTTGCTACAGATAGCAGAGCCCTGCATAGGCGGGGAAAAAAGGGGGTGGAAAGCGGGTAGCCACACACCATCCGTCTCCTGCTGTCTTTGCCCTTCCGTTACCCAATAGTATCCCAACCAACAACGCCAGCCTTCCACATCCTCAAACCACCCCATCCGTGTGATGATGTTGTATCGCAGGTGTACTGTACACCAGACAAGCCGCCTGCGATCGTTTTCGGGCGGCCTGGCCGAAAGGGGACTTCGACGTGAAGGAACAAAAGAGTAAGAAAATCGCTTCAAGGGGGTAGTGGGCCGCTCGGTCTAGCAAGAAAGCAAAAATAAGCGAGTAGCGCAAGCCGCGCTGTCGGATACATGCGAAGTGCATCTTCCTCGGCCTTTCGCGCATCCAAAATATCAAATCATTCCGGAACCACTCGCTCAGATCATCTTCGCCTCATTTATGCCTCAGCAGCCTTGGCCTTCTTCTTCTGTTCGACCTTGAGGAGAAGCGCGCGGTTGATGTGGGGGAGGACACCTCCAAAGGCGATGGTGGCGCGAATCAGGGTATCAAGTTCTTCGTCACCGCGGATGGCGAGCTGGAGATGGCGGGGCGTGATGCGCTTGACCTTGAGATCCTTCGCGGCGTTCTATGGTAGCATCTTCGGTAAGCGACTGGGAGGAGAGCGGGCAGGCGCAGGCATGAAAAAAAGCTCACCCCGGCAAGTTCGAGCACCTCGGCGGTCAGGTACTCGAGTACGGCAGTAACGTACACAGCAGCCTTGGCGCCGACGCGCATCTTGTTTTGTGTGTTTTGCTTGAGGAAACGCTTGACGCGCCCGCAAGGGAACTGAAAGTCAACGCATTAGCGGCTGAATCAACAGGGCGAGGACGACGTCACACAGTCTGGGCCGGGAATGCCATGGTGCTGCGGTGGTCTGGTGCTGCCTGGTAACAAGCTGCTAAAGTGTGTCGTCATCAGGCGCGTGGGTGATGTCCGCCGACAGAGACGAGTTGCGGGCGGACGTCTCGTGGCGGCGAGAAAACGCCGTACAGCTGAGGAACGCAGATAGCGTGGCAGGCGGGGATGGAGGCAAGACAGTTGGCGGGCTGTGTTCTTGATGCACCGAGTAGTCGGCGAAGGAAAGACAGAAACATACCTGTAGACCAGCGCGTTGAGAGTGGCTCTGCTGCTTCTTGGGGCCTTCGGCTCCAGAAGTCTTACCGCCCGAGCTCTTGCCGCCTGAGGACTTGCCCTTTCCACCGGCCATTGTTGCGATGCAGGTGAATGCGCGGGGTGGCGCGTTCAAGCAACGGGGAAAAAAAAGCGATTAAGATATCGTGGAGTGATGCGCGATGTTGATTCTAATGACGCGTTGTTTGGTGATTTCCGATGGCTGGTGGGGGGTGGTTCGGGATGAAAGTTTGTGGATGGCGCAGGAGTCGCGGTGGTTGTTGGTGTTGACGAGGCAAAAATTCGGAAGGCTGAGTCTGGCATGGTGACAATGTTATTGCCTCCCAGTGGTTGCGCAGAACTCAAGGCGTCAGTCTCCGCAAGGTACCTTCTGAGCTCAGTTGCTCGGCGCCCCACCGCAGAGGGTACGGTGGGCGAAAGGGACCAAGTGCGCAAATCGGGTAGGTATGGAGGTGGTGACGGATTTCGTCAAAAGTGCAACTGGACAAGACAGTAAATGTGAGAACACAGCCCCCTGGAGCCCAAGTGAGCAATAATGCGTTGAGATATAAGGTACCTGGTACTGTTAAGTTGGCCGGCGAGGTTGGCTGGTCATTGTGAGCCTGGCGACCTTTGGGCAGAAAGTTCAGAGCACATCTATGGATGGCGCAAGGCGGGCTGCTGCATTGCCTGCTGTCTGCCGAGAGCCATGGGCGGTCAAGGAGGGTCAGAAGGCGGGAAAAAACGGAAAGAAAGAACAGGAGAACCTGATTTTGTCTTGTCTGGAAGTCTTTGTGTGGGTTCTATTGCCATGGAGAGACGCCCTCATCTTGCTCGGCAAGTTCGATTTGGGGCGTCTAGCTTCCGTTTGCTCAGCAACTGAAGCTGATGTCGTTGTCGCCAAGCCCCACCTCCACAATGGCTTGTGGCTGCCAGCCACAAGCAGGCTCGGCGGTAATTATGGGGTGTGGCAGACCAGAGAAGTGACCCACTGGACACAAATACTGTATGTAACTTGAAACCGGACGCCCAACCAATGCCCATCTGCCGCACCACTGGCGGTACCCGTAAGTTAGCGCCGCTGCCTCGTGTGGCGTGGGATGCCGTGATCGAGCAGAGCCTTGCTTCTTCGAACTCATTTCCATCAGGCAAGTACCTTAAGGCCTTCTTGAGAGTTGGGCGAAGTGCGTGTTCCCGATGTGAGATCATTTCTTGCTTAGACATTTATTTCGCTAAGGTATCACCTCAGCAAAGCCGGTGCAACAACCTGGCAGGTTTTGCAAGCAAGATGCGCGTGGTGAGGATTTGTTGGAGTTGGTGCTCCCGAGTTTGGAATTTTTTGGCTCTGGACCAATCGTGACGCTTGATTGCCATGCCGCTGCAACTACCACATCTGACATGACTGGCAAGGCTAGACATCGCCGCCGCCTTGCAGGGCCACAGCCAATAGTATGATGCATTGCTCTCGGATTGTCGCCCTCTGCGACAACTGGGCGGCAGCCCGCCAGCAGGCTATGTTGCGGCAGTCTTAAGTCCCAGAGGGGTGGCATCTGAACGTACGAATACATTTGGCCTGCCCTTGGAACTTCAGCTTCGGTTCAGCTTGACTTCAGCTGGTTCCCGCATTGGGTGCGCTGGCAGGTATTTAGACCAACCTTAGGGCGCGATTTGCCCCGGCTCCTACGACCCCCTCGACCACCAGTTTCCACACTAGAGCCCCCACAAACGCTGCTGTCATCACCCGTGGACAGATTCGACACCCCTGCGAGCAGCGAGCGGAGCTGAAGATCGACGGCCTCAAAAGTCCAGCCCTCCGCTGCCAGTCCATGGACAATCATTCCGCGACGACGCCGGCCCGGCTCGCGACCGGCAGCGGGGCGGTCTCTGCGGTGCATGGGCAGAATGCATGCGCCGAAGGCCCTAAAGCAACGGAAGCGCCGCCACCGGGCCTTCCGCAGGGCGGATTAAAGGGCTCCAACGACCCTGCTTCTCGCAGTGGCAAGGACCTGGCCGAGGACATCGGGCTGGAGAGGCGGGACACCACAGACAGTTGCCTATCCGACTTCAGTCAGCGGCGAACCAACACGGACTGGTCCATCGCCGCGTCCACAGCCACGGAGTTGACTGATGCCGGGCCTAGTAGCCCTGATATCCTTTTCGCTGACGATGGTCCCGAGCTTGACACCGAGACTTACGCGTCATCACCCCGCAGCCGCAGCTTGTTCCTGCGCCTAATGGCTTCTCAGAAATCCAGGGTGGCGCCTCACGGTTCACCGCCCGACTCGCTTGTTCCCCGACTTCGCCGGCTGGAGCAGATGCCTCCGGGGAAATCGAGCCTCAACATATCCTCTGGTCCGACGATGCCCAGTCTTGATCCCCAGCCCGTCAAATCAAGCCCTTCAGGCTCTCAGGAGCCGTGGAACACGAAAACTGGGAGTGAGCCCCACGCCGACAATGCCGAAGAAGAGGTGGCCGACTGTGACCGGGACAGCAACCAGCCAGACTGCAGTACGGGTGGCAGGAGCCAAAAGCCCCATTCGCAAGCACAGTCCGCTGTCCTGGAAGGGCGCCTGGTACGGGGAGATGGAACGGATGGTGACGCAGATCCGGGTGATGACGACGACGCGCCGACTCCTGGGAAGAGCTTCCCCGACGAGAACCTACCGGAAGTGTCCGAAGATCCAGCAGGTGATCCCGCTCCTCAAACACATCCTGGCTCTGCCTCCGGCGAGGCATCGGACTCGTACGATGAGGAAGAGGAACCCTCAGCCTTGGCTTCGGACGATGGCATCATCTACGAAGTTTGCGAGCAAGTCCTGCAGCAGGCGCTCGGTGTGCCGCTGCACGACGTTGCACTTGCCGGGGCGATGCCGGCGGCCTACGAGTCGGTTAGCCACTTCCTGGACGAGCTCTCTCACATCGTTCTCAACAGCAGCTTCAGCAAAACCGGCATCGTCGTCAACGAGTCGACAGGGGCCAGAACAGGCTCCAGCCATGTGCCTATATGGCCTGCTGGGGGTGTTGCGGACAGTGCTAGTGCCGACGGTTACGGCTACGGGGCCGGCAGCCGGAAACGATCTAACGGTGGCCCAGACGGTGGCGATTCTGGCGAAGGCGGCGAGGACGGCACCCCTGGAGGTGGTAAACGGCGAAAGGTTTCGCCAACCGAGTATCAGTTAACCAGTATGCAGTTCGCCTGTCCGTTCAGAAAGAGGAACCCTGTGAGGTTCAATGTCCGGGATTTTCGAACTTGCGCATTGCAGCCATATCCCGATATTCCCCAGGTTAAGTAGGTGATACTCCGCTCGACCTGATGAACCCCCCATCTAACCAAGCCACAGGCGCCATGTGAAGAACTTTCACAAACAGTCGGCGGTCTTACCCTTCACTTGCCAGCGGTGTAGGCGGGCCATGGGAAGTCAGGAGGCCTTGGATAGACATGTCTCTGTCCCCATGGATCAGATCTGCACCCCCGAAACGCGTCCCACCAGTGCGGACCCGGAGGACGGCATCACCTCTGGTATCGAAGAAATCCTCAATGACCGCAAGGCCGGCACCAAGATCGACACTTGGCAAAGCTTATGGTGTCTGTTGTTCCCCGGGGATGCCGGCTTAGAGATTCCAGAGGCCGGTAGGTCGCAGCCCGACGGGGCCCCTTCACAGACTTATGTTCGAGCTGACAAGAACGTGGCCTCAGATTTCATACCTCCCACTGAATTAGAAGAAGTGTACGCCGAGTTCAACACCGGCCATCATATGCGCCAGCTGCAGCAATGCATCCAGCAAGGGCTGGGCCATGGTAACGATGTCGAGAGTTTGCTTTCCGTCTTTCGAGACCATATCGATTCAGTCTTTGACACCTGCCGGCGAAATACCAGCAGCGGCCCTGTGACCGGGAGCAGACGAATACCCGTTCAACCAACACCGGGACAGACGATAAGCCGGCGGAGCTCCTTCGTGACGCTGCATCCTGGGCGTCCGACGTCGAGAGGCCACGGTTCCGTCGACAGCAGCAGCATGTGTTCCCCCGTGGCGACTCCCAACAGCACCGCCATGCTGGGGAACGTCGAGCAGCCGCCGCCGGTAACGGAGGCGCAGTCCCGTAGCATGCCTAGGGTGCCCCGAACTGGAGGAGCATACCCGGGGCCGACCGGGGCGGAAGCAATCGGGGATTTGATGATGATGCCTCTCGTCTCGACCAGCAGCAGCCCCAACGCCACATGGAGCCAGGGAGGTTTGCCTGTTACGGTGCCGCCTCCAACACATGTGCACGTCGGATTTGGCGGCCAGGGTCAAACCGCGGCAGCGATACTGGGCGAGAAGGCGCTACACCACACTGCGGCCGAACCCCGTCTGCTGCCGACCGATTCTGGAATGGAAGTCAGTGGCTTCCTGAGTCAGGCGGCCGACGATTTTGACAATATCTCGACCTTGCCCACGTTCGACTCGCATGATGGCTATGGGGGCCTGGAATTTGGGCGGCAGCCGGTGCACGATCTCTGTTTGCGGCCTTCGCCACAGAATCATGTGCGCGGGGCGGGGCACGAAATGCAGGGCCAGGCGTGCTCGGCGACTGACCCGGGCATGATTCCGATTTTTACCTTTGATGTGTCGGCTATGGATGACGGATTCATGGAGGCTGTTCGCCGGAGCAGCGTATGGAGTGATGGTTATAACGAACTATCCCGGTAGCCGGGGGAGCGTGGCCTACTTCATTAGTCTGGTCGAAGATGGCTGATTCTGTACTAGAGGCGGTGCAAAAATGCAAGCAGAACCTGTGGCTGACCAACCTGGTGTGTAGCATATCCTGCGGCCGGGTACATGACGGTTCGTCGGAAGTGTGCCTAACGTACATGATAAGCGAGCGACACAGATAAGCGAGCGACGCACTTTTCAGCGAGAGACGCGACCTCTCTGATCTCTTCCATCAATTCCACTACAACAGGCCATGCGTAACCCGTCAAGAGAAGCCAGTGACCACTTACTTCCGACTTAACCCATGCCTCAGGCTCTCCGGAGAGGTGATGGCAACCGTAACCCTTCCGTTTCCATCCTCCGGCCCAGGTTGAGTGCTTCGACCACGTGCCGTTTAGAGGTCCAGGCGCCTCCACAGCATCAGGCGGACTGCAGCCCCGCGTCAGGCTGACCACAGGGGTCGGTTCCCAACCACCTGAGCTGGAATCCCGCATGTCATGGTCGGGTGCCTGCAGACGAGACATGGAAAGCGTGAGGTCGCTACAAACACCCGACAGGTCCCTACCGGTATTCTTCCCAACCCAGCTTGAGACCGCGATCATCAATTTCGACAGTTCCAACTTGTGTGGTTGCACCAACTGCGCCAAGTACATAACTAGGAGCGCACCAACAAACAGCGCGCATTACCCGAACACGAGAGACGGTCTAGGAGCCGGGCCAGACCGGTGGCGCCAGGGCCTGCATCAAGCTGAGTTCATCTGAAGCGCATTCACATTCAATTCTCGCAACACTTCGGGGCCGACGCAACAACGCAACATCACAGTCTGCTTAACTAACTCCGGCCATGGCGGCTGTCTCTACTGGAAGTCCTACATGTAGGCCGGTGGAGCCCCCGGACCATGACTCGGCATCCCGGCCAGCAGCGCCGGATCCGGACCCCGACAGCAACTTCATGCACGGACTCATCGGCCTCTGTCCCGGCGGCTTCTCCGAAGCGGTTCGGAACTCGATTTCGTCGCTGACCCGGAGAGATTATGACGCTCCGGCGACAAGCGCGCCATCACAGCCTGGCAAGGCCTTGAAGGGAACGTGGCCATCAACGCCCTCGCAGCCGCGCCCCCGCCATCTCCTTGCCTTACCGCCCGAGATCATACTCATGATCCTGCAGCAGCTCGATTTTGCCAGCATCGCACGCCTGCGGCTGACGTGCAAGACGCTCCGCGGCCTGGCCAGCCCGCACCAGATCCGCATCCTCTTTGGCGGCCCGGCCCAGTTGCGCATGCAGCTCCTGGGCCACTGCAAGACGTGTCTGGTGCACGACCCCTTCCGCTCCCGGCTGCTGCAGCCGCCCCTCGCCGACCCAGGTTACCCGCTGGCCAGCCAGTGCCTCGACTGCGCTCTCCAGGCCCGCGACCCGCGCATCTCGGTTGGCAAGAAGATCGTCCTGGCCAACTTCGACACGGTCTGGGTGTGCCGCTGGTGCGGCTACCCCATCGTCGAAGGCGCCGCCTTTGGGTTCGAGCAGATGCACCGTTTCTGCTACAAGCGGTACAACGACGTGCTCCTCTGCTTTTTTGTGCTGGGCTGGCTCCAGCTCGGCCTCGGCATTGTGGCTGCGGCGCTCGCTTGGAGGTACTATCGGGACGCTATGCTGGTCTTCGCCCCGACATTGACCAACTTTATCCTCCTGTGGATCTGCCTGATGTTCCTCATCTCGAGGGGCAGGCGGCTGAGGACCTATCACTGGACCCTGGCCATCGAGCTGATCATCCTTGCTCTCTGGATCCCGCCCGTCTACCACGTTGCTACCGACATTGCGAACGCATCAGGCGCCACAGTCTTGAAGAGCACACGAGCCACTCTTGCCATGTTTATTTTGAACATGTAAGCGAGACACAGACATTTGACGTCGCGCGCTGATTTGAAGCAACGAGGCACTGATATTTCCGCAGGCTGTTCAGGCTCCTGAACTTCTTTGGGAACCTCTTGCTTATATTCCGGCTTGACATTACAAAGAGGCATCGGTCAAGTATTCCAAAGTGGAGGCTGCCATTGCATTACCTGGCAACTGCCCTTGTGATGTGGACATATCCCCAGGCAGTTGAGCAGAAATATCCACCGGACTACTCGTAGCCTGCATATATTGGAGTCTCTTCTGGGAGCAGTTCCAGAAGATGATGCTTGGATGCTGGCATTTGAATAGCATCAATCTCCAACTTTGGCTAGACTCTGTTCTACCTCTCATCAACTGACACTGATATGGACGTAAAGCTTTCAAGGACATCAGGGCAGCTCCATTATGGGGCGTGTTCCCAGGGGGTGATGCTCGACAATTCTAAGTTCAGAGCAAAGTACATCATTGTCTTGTTGTCTGCGGAGAGCGCCAGGTCCTAACTACGGATGAAAGAAGATGCGTAGTCAAGATTTGTAGAATAACATAGCTGCCACCTCAAACAATGGCATCCTCGGGAATGTTGATTGGAATCTTCGACCATCATCCGACCTTCTGTCCCGTAGTTAGCGGAACAAGAATCGGAGTTGAATATCAACGTTATATTTCCTCTAGTTACTTGTTGCACTTCACCTCTGCATAAATACATTCAGTTTATCCAGTTATTCATTACCCCAAATATCTGCAGTTTGCAGAACCTGTGATCTTGTTCACGGTTCTCTCCAAGCCTCCTATCATCGCAGCGTCTCCCTTCGAAAACTTCATATGGAATTTCATCTTCTTCCCAATGCTCAAGTTCTTCCTATTCTCAGTTCTTCCTATTCTCAGTTCTTCCTATTCTCAGTTCTTCACATTTCTGTCTTATTGCCTCGTCTCCCACTGCCATATCTCCCACATCTTCCCTTTCTTCCTTACATAGTGAACACTCCGACATCGCCCTCAATTATCACGACGATTTCTCAAGACCGCATCGCCGAAAAGCTTCGAGCCAGTCGAGGGCTGGGAATTGAACACATTCCCACCATTTCTTTTGTTTCCCGCTTTTCCCTCGGCCCTGACCAGGCTTGCGCGCCGGTTCCGACCCGAAAGTTGCGCGCCTAGCCAGTTCAATACTACTCCAATTCTTCGAGTCGCTGCTCAAGCCTCACAGTACGTTTTCCGGGCAGCGGATGATTTACTTTTCTAACGCATGCACCGATTTCTTGGACTTCTTCTCCAATACCCGATTGCACGCGAGCAAGGCATCAGACATAACGGATCCAATAACCAACCGGCATATTCGAAACAAGGTCGTCTTAAATGCACCTGAAATGCCTCCAGCTTATTACCTCGACGTTGGGCCGGACAACGGCATCATAAGCGACGGACAGGGCGAAACGCGGGTCGTGCCGCTCCTTTCAGCAACTTCGCATGCTCAAGGCCGCGCAGCGTGCTGAGTGTGAGGAAGGCATCTGCCGATTTCTCCAAGAGGAGGCCATCAACTGCATCCCGGCCTGCTTCCAAAATTGGGCAAAAATTCTCATCGCGCAATGCATTTAGAAGAGCAACGGCCGCCATTTTTGCCCAACCAGCGCACCTGGCGTCTGGGTATCGATGACAAGCTGCGCTACCGTAGCGCCCTCAACTACTTATCCGTCCACGCACTAATCTGCATGTAATACGGGTGCGCGCGGGCGGTCATGCGCCGGCTGAAGAGAACGCCTTGGGGGTGGATGTTGCGGACCGATGTCATCTGGGATGGTACGTTTTCCCTCTGTCAAACGGTTGTTGCTAGACAACGTAACCATTCTTTTCTTGTACTTTAGACACTGGCTGTCGCTATAAGAAACCCCGAAGACCCGAACGGCCCTTGGCATGATTTGAAGGCGTTAGACATGCTCCCTCGCACCCGACGGGACGTTGTGAAGAGACAAGGCCGTGAGCATCGACCCATCTACCGCGTCTACCCCAACGGCCGCATCATCGTGGAACAGACCTTCCTTTCAGGCGAGTACCCGGCCTACGAGCACGAGATGCGATCCTGCGACGACTGCGCGCCCAGTTATCCGTGGACCTCGACGGAAACTTGAACCAGAGGCCTCACTCTACGGGCCTCGACAATCTGTCCGATCTATTCTCGGCTCAGGCTGCAAGGCTCCCCAACCCGGCGGCGCCGTTGACCAGAATGCCCACTGGCAATCTATCTTGGGACAGAGCACGGTTAGCAACACTGCTGGTTGCAACATCACTCGAATCACCATCATCCCAGACCACGACCTCAGTGATCTAGCAAACCCAGCCTGAGCAGCGGGAGGAGCAGACTCAGATCCTCCAGAAGCACCAGAAGCACCATGAGACGCGTACAAGTAGTACAGTAGTGGCCAACCGCATCGCATCAGACTGGGACTCCATCACAGACAACCGCCATCACGATCTTGGTGCCGCCATCTGGCAGCTTCTTCCCAAGATTTTTCCTCTTCCTGGGAATCTTAACGGCATGGTGGTACGCGGTGGCCTGGGTGGTTCACGCCGAACAGACACAGGCTCTAACGGGCGTATCGGATTGTTTAAAGCAGCCAGGGGTCGAGGGATCCTGGGCGGGCTGGGACGGTTTCTCTTCTGATTATGTCCAGGTTTCGCCTGTGTCAGCGCGCATAGATTGGCTCTATATCTAAACCTTTCTTGTCCCAACTTTCGAGGGTCAAGTGCAAAGCTTCTTTACTCTTGAATTTCCTTTCCTCATATGTGAATGGCTACCTTAATCTCGTCACATGCCTCGTGGAGAATAGAGACTAGGCACCCGTAGCCTCAGGATAATTACAGGCAACCACTTGCCAATATGAATGCTGCCTGTCTGCAATTGCTTTCCGGTGAGATTTGGTGGAACATGGTCCATGGGTATTCAAGGCTCTCCCGACCTCAAGAGCTGCTGGAGCTGGTCAAGAAGATCCTTGGTCATGGTGACCTTGACCACGGCTGGCTGTTCCAACCCATTGGAGGTTGCCACATCGGGGTCCGGATAGTACCAGCATGCAATGGCTATGATGATGTAGACAATCTGCTCAGGTGTTTTTGTCAGTCTAGTCCTCTGCCTGTGCCCATCCATAATCCCGGTGCCAACACTGCGTAACTATGGGTTGTTCTGGACGTACCACAAGGAGTGCGCCTTCGAGCCAGTTGGATTCGCCGTCGCGGAGAAAGTTCCCGACCACGAGAATGGACAAGACAAGAAGGCCAATCATGAAGATCTCAAAGTTGAGGTCCAGCGGCTTGCCCATGATCCAAGCGACAATGACGACGAGCGGGGCGTTGAAAAGCGCCGTCTGGATCGAGGGGCCGAGACAGTGGTACAGGGCAACGTTGATCATGCCATCTAGAGCAAAAGGAAGTTAGCAAAAATTGTCAACAGTTGGAGTGGAAATCAAATGATCATTGTAGGTTCAACGTTACCCCACGCTTCGTCAATAGCAGTCAGATGCTCAGCGGCCTTTTCCACAAGCGGCAACAGGATCAAGCCCAAGAACTGATCGGGCACGCCGCTCCGGACGACATGCTCGATCTCGTCGACCAAAAAAATCAGGAGCAGGGTCACGCAGACCAGCGACACGGCCAGGGCGACCATGGTCTCGGTCATGGTGAACTTGGGTTTCTGCAGGTCTTCGTCGCGGTCGGCGTCGCGGTGCTCGTCCATCTCAATGACCTCGTCAAACAGACTGTGCTGGCTGCTAGCGCAGAACCAGATGTACAGACCGAAGGCAAATATCAGCGCGAGGGACGCGACGCGGCTGATCTGCAACACATCGGTCTGCAGCTTGCCCTTTGTGAAGTCGTCGTGCAGCAGGGCTCCCGGCCGAGGCGGTTGAAGGAAAAGGTCAGGAAGAGCCTCGGACTTGAGAGCAGAATAAAAGGCACTCGGAATCAACAGCCCAAAGGCGGCAACCAACAACAGACCCGAGCCGACCTCGGACACGATGGCGTGGAACTTCTGGCTGGCGTGGCGGATGCCGCCAAAAAAGAAGCAAAGGCCGAGGCAGAGCAGCAGGTTGGTGAGGATGGAGCCCAGGATGGCGGCTTGGATGACGGGGATCAGATTGCCCTCGTCGCTGCTGCCCTTGGATGCATCTTCTTCGTGGTTGGCGATGAGCACGACAAAGAGGATGATCTCGACCAGGGAGCCAAACGTCGTCTCGATCAGGATGCCGGCCACCTTGGGCATCTTGCGGGCAAACTCCTGACCGGCGAAGCCGAGCAGGTTGGCGGCGGGCACCATGGCGATGTAGCTCGTGGCGAAGATGTACAGGTGCGCGTGCGTGACGAAACGCAAGACAATGGCCACGGGGACAAAGGGCCAGAGGACGTTGACCAACATCGACACCTTGCTGGAGCTGCGCCAGAGCACCGACACGAAGTGCCGCGGATGGAAGCCGCTCCGGCCGCTCTCGCCCTCGTGCGCGATCATGCTGCCGGTGTGGTGAAGATTGGGGAGAAGTGGCGCCGACTCATCTCGGTGGCGTTCTGACATGGTTATCCGTACGAAGTATCCGTAGTACGGAAGGTGTTTTGCTATAGTCAGGTAGGAATCACAGGCGAATTGAGTTCTAAGGTATTTGTGAAAATATGGAGTGTGATCTCGAAGCAAGTTGTTGTTTTGGGAACAAGCCAAGCCAAATTTTCCAAGTTTCGGTTACGCGGTGTCTTACACCGCCGCCAGCCATTGGTGCCCGCCCGGAGCAAGGTGGCCCAGCAGACGGCACGGGCTAGCCGGACGCCGGAAGCCCGGACCTCGCCGGCCTGCCGAGGGACATATGCCATAGGTATTGATTACCCAGGGTTACAGCCTACAGACCTGGTGATGAACTGAGAATCCATCGTTTTAGCTTGCAAGCCGTGAATTGACGCCGAAAGCATTTGCTTTTCCCTTCTCCTGTCAGACTCGTGGGATCCACCGCAAGGTTTAATAAGCTATCTTAGGCCAGTTAGCTGACTTAGAGTCTTTGGACACAATCTATGGAGTACTCCGTACCTACTCCGTATTTCCCGAGGCCTCGGCAATTCCATAATTCCGTTACATGTAACTAGAGTCAAAACCATTCCCCCCACCCAACATGGCAGCAACTGGCACAGTCCGGCCGTCTTCCATTGACGACCTGATCCCTACACTACCAACATTACCATACTGTTCTCTATAAATATATACAGAAGACCTACAACCAACATGGTTGTCTGTCACCTGCACATCATATCCCTGAAGGCAGGCGTCTCGATCGCCGGCTTTCTCGCCCAACTTGGCGAGAACGGCGTCAAGCCAGTCTTCAAAGCCCGAGTCTTGCGATGGATGATTCTCCCAACAAGAATGTCGGCCGGCCATCTGCTTGGCCGCAACACCCATTGGGACATACTCCTGGGTCTCGAGGATGGCGCCACCATTCCAGCGTCGTCACAGGCCGACATGGCATCCATTTGGACTGCCTCATGCGGCGTCAGCGCCAATGCCTTGTCAAGCTACAGCGATGTCAATGCGACGCTGTTCAACCAGGCTTCAGCCCTGTCAAGAGGTTCAGTTCAGCTCCCAGCGCCCTCAGACGGCGGCGACACTTCTCAGAACCTCGAGCTCTCGTCCGAGTGGGTGCAGTGGATAGCGGCCTTGCCCGGCCCGGTGCGGGAACACCCCGTTTCCATGCTAAACCTGCTCGCCTTCCACCCTGGCAAGAAAGACCAGTACAAGAAATACGGCGCCGAGTTCTCCCGGCGCGTGGGCTCGCGCCACGGCGGCCACGTCAAGGTCGTCGGACGGGTGCTGGAGGGTCAGGCCAAGCGCGACGGCTGGGACGAGATTGCCTGGGTGCACTACCCGACCATCACGCACTTCGCCGCCATGTCGGCCAGCAGGGACTACCAAGACGTCAATCGGGAATACAGGCTCGGCGCCCTGAAGGACACGTTTATCCTGTGTTGCCAGGAGCTCGACGACCATGGTGAGCTCGCCGCTTCCAAGCCCGGAAGCAGCAAGCTGTAGCAGTGTCAACTATTAAGTTATAGGAGTCAGTAATGAAACGGTTGTCTGGGCATCCGGGGTATCATTGGACATGTTTTGTTCCAACGACTCGACAGATGCCCACTGGGATCTATTGTACATACAACTCCTATATACCGGCCACTGGCTCTCTCTTAGGACTTCTCCATCGTTCCGCTTCTCAGAAAAGGAGCATCGAAACCCACAACACTGTCGGTCGCTGCATCCTTCACAAACACCACCCTGTCCACCGGCTCGCCCCCGTAATGCATCCAATCGGCTAAGGACCAGGCCAGACAGTCATGCGCGCTGATACCCTTCCCCGGCAGCTCGGCTTCGGAGAGCAGCTCCATGTCCCACCACAACCTCCACTCCTCCTCCACCACCTCTCTCCCGTCGGGGAGTTTACTCTTCCTTTCCACCTCGGCCGGATACAGCCTTACCACCCCCGTCAACCGCAGCGAGGGCAAGAATCCAAACAAGGTCACCTCCCACAACTCGCGCAAACTCGCCAGAATATCCGTCCCGTTCCGATACAGCCCCGTCAGCCGTAGCGAGGTTCCATCTGTCTCGGTCGTCGCGTTGACCGGCGCCACCACCATGGGCACCGCGGCCACAAAAGCTCCCACGTACTCCCTTGCGGCCTGTTCTCTGGCTTCTTCATCAAGGGCCGGCACCAGCACGCTCAGCGCGGCGTCAAAGACGCCGGTCACGACGTCCTGGCCGCCCGCCGTGAGAATCACCAGCCCGACGCCGTACTCGTCCAGCAGGGCGATGCGGGCATTGTATCCGTACGCGGCGCCGCCCTTGGAGTGGATCGTGACGGTGTGCCCGCCTCCTGCACGTGAGCGGCGGTGGTAGTGGGAAAACAACAGCTTGGGCTCTGGCCGAAAGATCTCCCACGGCAATCCCACAAAACTCGACCGCGAGCCCGCAAACGACCGCGGCTGCAGCCACTCGCGGACTTGTGTCGCAGTCAAACCCAGTCGTCGCGAGTCACGGCCCAGGATGGCGTGGACAAACGAGCCGAGGTCGGCCAGCGTCGAGACGAGACCCCCGCCGGGGACGTTGTCGCCGTACGAGGAGCCCCAGGTGCTCTGCACGGGGGGGATCACGGCGTGGGAGTCGTTTCCCTGGCCGCTGGGCACGGTCGACGACATGTTGAGCGGGCGCGTGAGCAAATCCCGTAAAAGAGTCGAATAGTTTTTGCCCGTGTGGACTTCGAGGGCGTAGGACAGAAGAGTGTATGCCACGTTGGAGTAGACGGGGCGGGACTGGGGCGGGGCGACCGGGTGCGAGGACAGCATTCCCTCTAACAGTTGCGCCTTGGTGCATTCCCCGTTGAGGCCGATGACGCCGCAAGGGGGGTAGTCGGTGTCTTTGACGTGCGGGAAGCCAAGGGCTTCGAACCAGGTCTTGAGGTAGTGGTATTCCTTGGGACTGTTAGGGATGACACGGGAGACAAAAAAGGGCAGTCTACACAGGAGTTGCCAGGTTGGATGGACATACAGAGAAACCATCTGCAAACCAGTTAGTCAACGTTCTTCTTGATGGACTGGACGCACACAAGGTATGCAACTTACAGTTGGGAGGAATTCCCGCCAGGTGCCCGCCCAGGGCTCGCAGGCTGATTTGAGACCAATCGATCAGCGACGTCCCGTTGTCCAGCGAGGGGAGATATTCCGTGACGGCATCGTCCATGTCGACGCCACTCTTCATAAGTAAAGCGTCCGTCAAGACCTTGGAGACGGATCCGATCAGATACTGCGAGTGTCGGTCGAGCGACTTGGTGCCGTTCACGTTGCCCGGCGCGAGGCGGTGGTACTCCCAGAGTGGGATGGACGGCTGCGTCTGGTCCAGTCCCACGACGGCCATCGACAGTGAGATGTTCTGGAGGTCCCAACCGGTGCGGATTCTGCCATGGAAAGCCGCGTCGAGCGTTGCCGTGAGTTTGTCGAGCGCACCTTTGAAAGTTCCGGACTGGTTTAGATGGCGCGGCCGAGGGAAGATGGGCCCCTCGGGACGGCATTCCACACTGGAACTCGAAGCCAACGTGGCGGGGATGACGAGCAACAGTGGGATGAGCTGGACCATGTTCAGATAATTGTATCGTGTGAGCGTGACCTCTTACTGTGAAACATGGATATTGGAACGCTGCACTTCGGCACGACTGGCTGCGACGAAACACTCCCCGATACTTCAAGGCTCCTGTTGTTTATATGCTCTGACCACGGCCATACTGTTGAGCTCATAGTGACGTGGCTAACCGAGCCAAGCAACATGTCGCCCGTCACGGCGACGCCACTGCCATAGCTCGATATAGTCATTTTATCTCCCACAACTGGCCATGATCTGGGCCAAGACTCGGTTTCCGATGTCGATATCATTTACGAGGGATGCGAGTGAGTGCTGGTCGCTCTGACAAAAGTGGGACGGAGGACTTGGCGTTGGCCGTATTTCGGATCCGCATCTTACAGGTTCATTCAACGGGGGCGACAACTATCAGCCGGTCATGTAGTGGACACGTGCGCAGCCTTGCTGAGGCTTGTTGCCTGTTATTCGAAACACGACTCAGACCCGAAAGGTGGCTCGCAGGTCGTTCAGTGCTTTGAATATCTTTCAGATCCTGAAAGAATATGTTGCTGGATAGGTAGGCAATTGCCATTGTGATAAGCTTGGGCCATTTTACTCGGGCGAAGCTGAGTGATGAGCACTTGACTAGAATTGCGCTTACAAGCGCAGCAGTAAGGAGGCTAATTACTTGGACGAATGGGGGATCCCGTGAGAGATTAGGAACCGTTGTAGAGGCTGACACCGACAGTGGCGCCAATCTTATACATGGACGTCGAGGCGGGCACGATTTTGTACAGAGACAAGCACTCTGACGGGACGACGCCGCTTCCAGCCTCTGCTCCGCGAGTCACGTTTGCTCTTGTTACCCACGGCTGTAAGCACAGAGTCCGCGTTCGGAGTTGTGTCCATTGAGCATAATGATAAGTGAGGCTAGAGGAAGCCAGCGATCCCATCCCAAAACTCTTTGGGCGACTCAGCCATGGGGAGATGACCGGCCAGGGGCACAACCTTGAGCTCAGCGCCACTGGGGCCGAGCAACCCCTTGAACCCATCCATGGCCTTCACTAAGGCGCCCCTGCCATCACCCTCCCCCACGACAAACAGGCCCGGAACCGTGTTATTCTTCATCTCGTCGCGCATGTCATAATCCCACAGCGCCTGGCACGAATACCGGAACCCGCGCACGCTGTTGGCCGCCACCATATCCGTCATCCAGCTCACCACATCCTTCTTTTCGGCCATGGTGTGCGGGTGGAACCAGCGCTCGACAGTCAAGCCAGCCAGCTTCCGGATTCCTCCATCCGGGCCTTCCGCCAGGGCAATCCGCTCCTTCCAAGCCGCCGTGTTGGCGTCGCTCGACTTCACATTAAAGTCACACGCCACGAACCGGCCCACCCGCCCGGGGTACTTAAGCGCAAACTTGAGCGCGGTGGCGCCGCCCATTGAGACGCCCACCAGAGCATGCAGTCTCGGCACGCGCAGCGCCGACAGGAGGGCGGCGAGATCGTCGGCCAGCATGTCCAGCGTCGCCGGGACGGGGGGCGAGCCGGGCACGTTGTGGCGGCCGCGGGCGTCATACCTCAAAATGCGGAGGTCGGGACGGTTGGACTTGAGAAGTGCGATCAGGGGGTCCCACATGCCCATCGAGGTGAGCAGGGAGTTGCAGAAGGCGACTGTGGGCGCCTGCGGGGAGGGGTTGCCTTCGAGGCGGTAGGGGATTGTTAGGCCATCGGAGGTCTTGATGAAGGCGTTGATTGCTGCGTCGCCTGCGCCGCTTGCGCTTGGGCTTGTTGAGATGATATTCCCGTCGGGTGTCGAGGTCGAGAAGTCAGAGGTTGGTGGCAGTCTTGATAGGGCGTGCAACTCCCTCGGTGCCGGTCCGAAAACGTAGAACAGCTCATAGGTGCGGCGCTGCTTGTCGGCGACGTAGTTGGCGAAGATGTCGTCCAGCCAGGGCGTGCTCGTAGCGGCCTTGTGTTCGGGACCCCCGAGGTCGTTATCCTTGGCATACTCGTGGAGGGTGACGATGCTGACCTTGCTATTACTCCGACTGCTCCCGCCCTCGATGACCGAAGGGGTGCGGAAGACACGGCTGCGCAGCCAGCCGGGGATTTTGGAGAGCATCGGGATGTGTTCCTCCCTGTACCACTTGGTGACGGCCTCCTCAGCGCCCTCGACGCCGGTTTTGAGCGAGAGGGTGACGGAAACAAGCACCAGCCCGTCTGCATCCGCATCCGTCAGCTGCTCGATGGGCACAAACAGGGGGCTCTGCTGCATCTCGACGAGGTCAAGAAACGTGCGATTGACGTTGACCTGGCCGATGGTGGCGGCCTCGCGCGGCGAGCGGTTGGCGCGCAATTCGGTGTAGGTGGGCGTCTCGAGCTGCGCCATCGACGTCACGTCGTAGACGGCCAGGAAGTGCGGCTGCTGGCCGTCGGTGGCACGATACCGCAGGCCGTTGGTGAAGATGTGAGGCAGCCGGAGTCGTGTTGGGCCGTGCTCGTTGTTGTACCACTCGTGGAACTGGTCCAGCGAGAGGCCCTCGCGGGGCTGCATGGTCACGTAGAGCATGCCCGGTTCGGTTCCCGCCATGGCTGCTGTGAGGAGTGCTGCACTGAGGGTGATGTCTGACGGTCAGGGTCTCCTGATTTCTCGATTGAGACGTATCAAGTCAACTTCCTACTGGGATCGGGGCAAGTGTGATGGAAAGACATATTCATGCAGCTGCTTGTCGGAGACTTGTTGGGTCAGTGACATGAATGTTTCCGACGGAAGAAGGTGTGGAGCCCGGCTCTTGCTCCGGCTGCCGGCATTTGACAGGCAAAGCGTTTTCCCGGCAGCGTAACGTGTGGGGTGGAGAAAAGTGCTTGGGGCATGACTTTTAGTCACTTGATCTCGAAAAAAAGACTCGAGAGCTGGCCGCTCAATCGATTACGTCCTGATTCCGTTCGATCCCATGCTTCATCTGGAAGTTGATATCCAAGCTGAGACGTCTGTATCATCCGAGTCATGACGCCGTCTTCACCAACCATGCTAGGGGCTCTTAGTGTTGAAGGTCTAGCCCGTACCCGCCTTATCGACCCATCTCTGAAGTCACCCAAGCCAGTACGTGTTGCCTCACAGCCGAGCGTCTGTATATCCATTTCTGCTCTTACGGCTCACCCCAGATTTCATCGGCAATCTCCCGGACGAGTGCCAGCTTCAACTTCTGGTCATCCTCGCTCAGCGGGTAGCCGCTCTCGTGGGTGCTGAAGCCACACTGCGGGCTGAGACAAAGGCGTTGCAGCGCCTCCTCGCGCGACTGACCGCTGCCCTCGGCCACAAAGTCGGCGGCCTGGTATATCCGCCTTCTCACCTCCTCCTTGTCCTCCAGCTCGCGCAGCTTGGTCGAGATGGCCCCGATCACAACGTACTTGTCCTTGGGCAAGAACTTGAGCGGCTCAAACCCACCCGCCCGCGAAGTGTCGTACTCGAGGTAGAAGGTGTTGACTTTAAGCCTGGTGAAGAGCTTCTGGGCAATCACGTCGTAGCCGCCTTCGGCAAAGAAACGGCCCCCGATGAAGTTGCCACGGCAGAGATGCACGCCCGTGTGGAAGTCGGCGGGCAGCTTGCTGATGCAGTCGTTGTACAGGTCGATATACGCATCGAGCAGGTCGTCGACAGTGCCGATGTTGTCCGGGTCCTCGGCCCACCCCTGACGGAACTTGTCGGAGCAGAAGTCTTACGGAAATCTCGTGAGCGCATGGCGGCAGAACGCAAAACACGGGCACTTACATGCCAGGCCGGGGTCGTCAAACTGGACGTTCCTGAGACCGGCTCTGTAGAGCTGGTCCAGCTCGGCCTGGTAGACCTTGGCGACGTCCTTGAAGTACTCGGCGTCGTTCGCATACGCCTCCGTGGTGTAGGCGCGTCCTTGCTTGTAACGCATGTGAAACCACGCCGGCGTGATCATGGTGAGTTTGATATTTCCCCACTCGCTCTCGGGCACAGACTTCTGCACCAGGCGAAGCTCGTGGAGGTTGGACTGAGACTTCTCGGGGCTGTGCTTCAGCTTCCCCCCCGCGATGACCGAGTCCCCCGGCATGACCTTGCGGTCCTTCTCGATCAGAGACACCACGTCGGGGTGGTAGAGTCGGAACAGCGAGGCGTCGGCGTCCTTTAGACGGAGGGTGCCCTCGAACTCGTCCCACATGAGACCCCAGAAGCGAGTCCGGTTGAACTCGCCACTGGTCACGGCTCGGAACCCCAGCGCCTTCTGCAGCTTGACCACATGTCCCACCGACTCTTCTTCGACGGCGGGCAGGCCGGCCACCTCCGGGGTCAGCCCCTTCTCGCGGATGGCCTCCCGGACCTCCAACAGGCGCTGCGGCCGCAGGAGGGAGCCCATATGCTCGGCGCGGAATGGAGGCATGGTCGGAAAGTGAGCCAAGGAGGACAGGGAAACGAGGTGCAAATAGAGATAGTCTTGCTTGTCGTTGGAAGAGGAAGAAGAGGGAGAGATGAGTTGAGGCGGGGCAGACAAGATCTGATCCGCGCTTCCTGATGACCGGAAGCGGGGTCCAGTCTTAGTGTAATCCGTAGTCCCCATCCCCTTACGGAGTACACCCCAGGCAACCCCTTGAGCATGGGCAGGTCTCCATCCCGTGAGAGTCGGCAGTTAAAATGTTGATTCAGCCAGAAACGTAACTGCCCGGGCATACAATTGGAGCCGCTGCAAGGCAAGGGTTGTCGTGTGCCCTGATGCAGATGAGATTGCGGAGTGGAGATAGATGAATCCCCAGCATTGGTGGGTCGATGATTGCGGGGTGAGTTTGTTGGTGTGGGGCTTCAGCCCTAGGCTCCTTGAGCGCAGGCCAGGTGGCACCTACCCACTTTTGCTTGCTGTAGCCGAGGCATCGACTTTGTTCATCGACATATTCACCATATGTGTGGTTCCGTTCGGGTGCAAGTGCCCACCGCCGATGTGTCAGCGGCGACTGACAGCCGTATTCCTATGAACAACGCGCGAACCGAATCGCGCATATGGCGATTCTAGCTCGTCATTTTCCCGGCGGGCTTGTGCCCGCTGACAGTGCTCGGTTGCCCGCTCTGCCGCACTTGCTGCATATGCCTGAACGGTTTCTGCGGCACAGCGATGGGGAAACAGGGCTTCGCTTTGAGGGTCAGACCTGAGCGCAATTGACGTCCTTCAAGTCCGCTGTCGCTGTCGATGTTGATGTTGATGTTTGCTGTTGCTATGCCGTTGTCGTGCAGTTGAAGCTGTTGCCGCAGTGAAAACAGAGCTTGCTGTTGCCACTGAAGCAAGGGGATTGGCAAATGCCAGTCAGGCCGCTAATGGAGCAGCATGAGCAGACAGCCCAGCTGTGCGACTTCTGTCGCAACATCAACTTCGAAGCCCTCCGAACCCCTCTCGTCTCGGACATACCCGCCCTCAAGCAGGGCACAGTCGACACGACGCGCTACCCCTTCAAGGTCAAGGACGAACAAGAAAACGCGACGAAGGCGACATACCTAGGAACCCTAGGTGCCCTCCTCCAGCGAGTCGCCACTGGCAATTGTCGATTATGCTATCTCTTCGGCAAGGTTCTGGTGCACCACGGGGCCCACTGGCATCTCGAGCGGAGGCCGGAACGCCACTGTTTCGCCAGCCCCAACTACCATGGCCAGTTCCGGTTCAAGTCGAGGGAGAACGCCTTCGTGACGACCCGGTTGTCTCTCACGACCGAAGCCGCGACACCGAACCCCGTCGGTCACGATGTCCAGAAGGACGGCCTGTACTACGACGAGGGCTTGTACTTCGCACTCCAGGCGTGCAACCCGGGCGCCACATCGGTGCGTGTGGACGAGCGGTTTGTCGACCCTCGCCCGGGAGCGGACATGATGATCTACGGTGGGCGCCGACGGGAGTTGGTGCTTGACCTGGGGTGGGTGCGACGGTGGATTGCCATCTGCCAGGATCGCCATGGCGTCGGCTGCGAAGAGCACGATGTAGACCCGGGGCACAGGTTCGGGAAGGTCCGCTTCATCGACGTCAAGCAGCGCTGCATCGTCACTCTCGCGGATACTTGCTTGTCGGACCATCGGTACGTTGCGCTCAGCTACGTCTGGGGGGGACCGCAGGCCGTCAAGCTGGAGTTGTCCAACATGGAGCGACTGGCGAAACAAGATGCGCTACGCGCCGGTGCCCTTCCGCACACACTAGACGACGCGATACTGCTGACCGATTCGTTGGGATTCCAGTACCTGTGGGTTGATGCCCTGTGCATCATCCAAGACGACGACGGCGACAAGAAGATGCAGATCGGCGGCATGAGCCAGATATACGGGTGCGCGTTTCTCACCGTCATCGCTGCGTCGGCGGGGAGCGTCGACGGCGGCTTGCCGGGTCTTCGACCTGGCACCCGATTTCAGGAACAGGAAGAAATCATGGTGATTGCACCGCAAAACGAGGACAAACAGAGCGGCAGCAAGAAACGCCCGGGCCTATCCCTCATGACGACTCTCCAGCCTCTCACCAATCGGGGAAGCCACCTGCTCGAGGATGCGGTATGGAACAGCCGCGGCTGGACGCTTCAGGAGCGTGTGCTCTCGCGCCGCGTGCTCATATTCATGCATGAGCAGGTTTATTGGATCTGTCGGCAGGGCATCTTCTGTGAGGAGTCGTACTTTGAACACGAGGCGATGCCTTTCAACCGGTACAGTACTAACGCGGCGGAGCTGATGCTGAGACGACCGGCTCGATCCAGCCACGAGGCCTCCGATGATGAGGACAGGCGGTTCTGGGCCAAGTATAAGACGCTGGTGGTGAGCTACTCCCGCCGTACGTTCGCTTACCCGGGTGACGTCGCGGATGGATTTCTCGCCATTCTTCAGGGGTTGTCGAGGCTCTCGAGGGAAGAGTTTACCTGGGGACTCCCGCGCTCCCACTTCGAACAGGGTCTGTTTTGGAACACCTTTGCCGGTGTCCGGCGTAGGGAAAGCTTGTCGACGCTGCCTATGACGTCCATGCAGCGGAAGGTCCAGTTCCCTAGCTGGTCTTGGATGGGCTGGCTTGGTGAATTGACCATCAACATTGGAGATGAGCGATTCGAACCGGATCTCGAGTTAGTGATAGACCACGATGAGCGCTCGGGCGTTATTAACTTTAGCTGAGCGCTGACCGACTTGTACAGTGCCGAGATTCCCGAGATCCTCTGCTTTGAGCATCACCATCACCCCTTGCGCCTCGAGCGCGTCCGCAGGACAGCCGCAGCCTACGACTGGTTGCGCCAACAGGACCTGCCAAGCTGGAAAGCTGGGCATGATCAGCCCGTCGAGTTGGCGGACTTGACGTCGAGTCTCCCTCAGCTCCCGGACATCCCAGAGACGCTGGTACTCTTCTTTTGGACAAGCTCGGCCTTTTTCACCGTCGTCACGAACCATGGTACCCCTGCATCATCGCTGATGAATACCAGCGGCGACGTTGTCGGGTCCGTGAAGCCCACGCCGCCTGAGAATGATCATACGACAAGTGAGGGACAAAGACTAGGCCAGTACGAGTTTATTGTCATAGGGAGCTCACGGTCTACGTATCCAGGTGCTGACCCGGTGCTGCTGGTGCTTCAGATAGAATGGCGCCAGGGCATCGCCTATCGCGTGAACTTTGGCGAGGTCAAAGAACGTTACTGGGAAGCTGCGCCTCATACTTGGAAGCTCATTGCCCTTGGATAGGGGTAAGTACTAGGGTATGGTAGCGTGAAGAGGTGACAGGCGTTTCATGTCGACACAGAGAGCAGATGGAATGCTGGATCGCCCGGCACCATGTCTGGGCCTTTCTACCTGATTTAATCCAACAAAGCGGGATTATAGATTCAAGATTTGAATTGGACTGCAGTCGCGCTAGCAGCAGAAGCTGCAGAACCCATCTCTTGTTGAAATGATGTCACCGGCTTTTGGTCGCCAAGCTTGCATGAGTCGGTGAAGCAGATAAAGCCAACAAACGGTTCATCCGTTGCGTCATTGGTGTGACGGTCTAAGACGAAAACCGCTAGGCTTGTCAAACTTGGGATGGGAGCCTCAGAAGAAGAACGGGGGCGAACTTATCTCCTGCCCAATTAGAACACCGCTCCTGGTGCACACCTTGATGCGCCACCGCGAGCATCTGAAGTCTTCCACACCATCCGCCGCATCGTGGGGGTTCACCGATGGCTTATCGTCAAATCGAAGCCGTTGCCACCAAGACGTAACATGGCGAGGCATGGGCACGGTAGGACGCCTAAGGGCTCCTACGAGCATTGCTGGCGGCGAGGGAGATGGCTGCATCCAATCTTAACCCTGATGGTGGAAGCCAGCTCGATTTAACATTGTCTCACACCCCAATATATCCATCCCACTGCTACGGCCATTTCCTTGTGATTCAACATCGCAGGCTTCTTTTGTCCACTATCTCTGGAGGTTCTGATTCCCGTTCCTCACCCTAAGCTCTCTCAGCCGGAATCTTGCGATGGATTCGCCCAGTAGCAGTACTGGGCCGCAGCCCATCTCTAACAGTAGAACCGAGGGGCGCCGCCATTCGATTTTACCCGACTTTCTCTCCGAAAGTCTCCCGATACCCCCATCCTTCTTGGGGACATCGCCCATTATCAGGGAGATCTTGAGTCAAGACATTGCCGAGTGCTCTTCCGACGACGAGGACGAGCATGCTGGCGCCTCAGACGCCGAGTCAATATCCGGCCAGGCAGACGCAAAGCTGGCCTTCCACCCCAATGGCATTGTTTATGGCACCGGTTATTCCTTTGTCCCGATCCAGGGGATGGACAAGCCAGTTCCCAACCCGCACGAGGTTGAGGAGTCTCTCCATGCCGAGCTCTCTCTGCTACGAGACAATGCCATACTTCCCCCGAAGCACCACAAACCACGGCCGACCCACGTCTTCGCTCGTCTCTACCGGCGTATCTTCAGTACCAAAGTCAAGGACCACGAGGGGCCCATTTTCCCGGATATCGCTGTCGAGACAACACCGTTGCTGCATGAAATGGCGGCTGAGTTTGAGCCTCTACCAACTCCAGCGCCGGACGAGATAGAAAGGCGCTTCGAATTCGCCGTTGCACATCATGAGATCACGACGACCTGGCAGCGTGAGGCTAAGACGCTCATCCAATACTCAATGCCTCTTATCGCCACCTTTTTGATGCATTACTCTGTCACGATTGGAAGTGTTCTCACAGTGGGCAGGCTGGGCTTGGTCGAGCTCGCTGCCGTCAACCGTACGTGTTGCTACCTTAGGTACTCCGTGGATCTATCAACTTTCTGACGCGACCAACAGTGGCAACCATGACCGCCAGCATCACATGCTACGTCCCTGTACAGGGTCTGGCGACCTGTTTGGACACTCTCTGTGCCCAAGCGTACGGATCCGGCCACAAGCACCTCGTGGGACTTCAAGCTCAACGCATGACATGGCTTCTATTCATCCTCATGGCGCCCATCGCAATGGTGTGGTGGTTCTCCGAGCCCATCCTCGCCGCCCTCGTCCCCAGCAAGGAGACGGCATCTCAAGCTGCCACCTTTCTACGCGTCCTTATCGCAGGCATGCCCGGAGTTGCCATGCTGGAGAGCGGCAAGCGGTTCGTGCAGTCCCAGGGTCTGTTTAAGGCCACGACCTACGCCCTGATGATCGGGGCGCCCTTGAGTTTCTTGCAGAACTGGCTTTTTGTCTTCAAGTTTGGCTGGGGATTTGTTGGAGCGGCCGCAGCCATGGCAATTACACAGAACCTATTGCCCCTGTTGTTGGTCCTGTATGTCTGGCTGATCGACGGTTCTCAGTGTTGGAATGGGTTCAATTGGAAGGCTTTCAAAAACTGGGGTAAAGTTCTCCCCCCATGTTACCCTCACGTCGCCCCCCCCTCTCTTTTGTTTCAGGGGGTCTGTCTAGCTAACAGCTATCTCATCTAGGACCGATGATGAAGCTGGCACTGCCTGGCATGATCATGATCGAGGCTCAGTTTTCCGTCTTGGAAGTGCTCACCCTGTCCGCGAGTCAGTTCGGCACGTCCCAGCTGGCGGCCCAGAGCATTCTCGTTACAGTAACCTCGACCTCGTTCAACATTCCGTTTCCGTTGGCAATAGCAACCTCGACACGAGTAGCCAACCTCATTGGAGCAAATCTCAGCTCGGCAGCTAGGGTCACTGCCAAAGTGGTATGTGTGCCCCGGTCCATTTACTCTTTTCCCCAACAGGAGCCCTTCACTTACTCCTTCATCAGTCCATCATTGCCGCGTGCATGGTGGGTTGCCTCAATCTAATCCTGTTTTCGACACTTCGCACACAGTTACCGAGAATCTTCACAGACGTCGACGACGTCATCCAGATCGCCTCCCAGGCCCTTCTCGTCTGTGGCGTGATGCAGGTGTTTGACGCCATAGCGGCCGTGGCCCACGGTCTTCTGCGAGGAATCGGCCAGCAGGCTATCGGCAGCTACGCCAACCTCTTCTCCTACTACCTCGTCGCCCTCCCCATCTCGCTGTCAACGGCGTTCGCCCTGGGCTGGAAACTTACAGGCCTTTGGATGGGTATCACCGTCGGGCTTCTCTGGTGAGCTGCGCCTGGCCCACTTCAGGTGGAGTGAAATGGAATACTGATCGACAAATGCGTATCTAGTGTCTCGGTAATCGAACTTGTTTACCTGTACAAGACTGACTGGGAGGTTGCGGCGGCGCAGGCTGCTGAGAGGTTAAAATCTGAGGACGTTGCAGTGGAGGCGAAGTCAAGAAGGCCTTCGCATGGTGTTTAGCGCGTGTGTTTATGGGTGGAGTAACTGAAAGCGAAGCCAATGCCAATGCTTGCTGACGAAGAGAACGGGAGGAGGAGGCAAATCAGATGCTGGCCATGTCCACGTTTTCCGGAGCCTTGCTGATTTAAAATCAGGGGCTGCAGCTAAGTAAGGTTGATCCTTGGGACCTGATTGGCCTCTCATGGCGTTATACCGTACGGAGTGGGTGGACATGTTGGAGGGAAGGGATAAGATACAACTATGGTGCCAACATCTCAAGCTGAACTTACCTCAATCTTGAACCCCAAGACTTCCCCGGCCATCCATGCCTGGATTTCTCCTTCTGTCTCCATGTCGTAGAAGAATGGCGCCCTATCCTCGGCGTCCGGCTCAATCGCGAGGAGGGGGCCCTTGTTCCCAGATCAGAGGCACAGCAGAACATAGACACCTTCTCGTTCCTTCTCCAACGCCAAAGTAGGGTACTTGGATTCTCAACGAAACGAATGCTCGCTGCTGTTGCGTTTGTGCAGTGCAAGCTCTGTGGATATGGATCCCTAGTAGCTTACACTTAGTTCGTGTAGAAACGTGCCTGGTGCCTTTTGCAGTGATGTATGGGAACATGAAAGGGGAAGATGATGGTGCGTATGCCAACAGTTCTCGCAGGCGTCAGTTGGTATAGCAGACCCAGGGAGAACACCAGCTGAGACCAAGTCTGATGTAGGTCCATTGAATGCCGCGTGGCCGCAGATCATAGACTGTGGGCGTTACCAACTGCACATTCAGTTGGCTGACAAAATACCTTAGATTCGGTTAAGGCACTTTTACAGTAACCTGTTAGATCTGTGGGCCTCGCCATCTGTCCAATAGATCAAGCTGAATGTGGGAGATGCATGACGCTCGAAGAGCTTCGGTCAATGCTTGCCAGGCCAGAGTGTTTCGTGCAGACACTCGATAGACCCGGCCACTGGCGAGCCGCTCTACGGAGTTTCTGTGGCCCGCAAGGAAGACCTGGACGCGGCTGTCAGCTACGCGCGAGCCGCCTTCAAGACCTGGTCTAAGACGACGCACCAGGAGCGGGCCAAGCTCCTCAACGCATATGCGGATGTAATTGAGGCTAGCCGCCATGACCTAGAGAAGCTACAGACCATGGAGCAAGGCAAGCCGCTGGGGCTCGCGGCGCTCGAGGTTAGCATGACGCTGCAGTGGCTCCGCGCCTTCGCGACCACGTAGCTCGCCGACGAGGTGCTCGAAGACACGGACAAGCGCACCGTCTACTCGACGCGCGTGGCCCTGGGAGTCGTAGGGGCCATTGTCCCCTGGAACGGGCCGACCCTGCTCGGCCTGGGCAAGGTCGGCCCGGCGCTCTTGACGGGCAACACAGTCATCATGAAGCCGTCCCCGCACATGCCCTACTGCGGCCTGAAGCGCGGCGAGCTCGCCATGTCCGTCTTCCCTTCGGGCGTGGCCCAGGTGCTGAGCGGAGACGACCGTCTCGGGCCCTGGATGACGGAGCATGGCGGGATTGACATGATCAGCTTCACAGGCTCCATCGCGGCGGGCAAGAAGGTGGCCGCGAGCTGCGCCCAGACACTGAAGCGCTATGTGCTCAAGCTGGGCGGCAACGACGCCGCCATTGTCTGCGAGGACGTCGATATTGAAAAGTGTCGCCCCAAGATTGCCATGCTGGCCTTCCCCAACTCGGGCCAGGTTTGCATGTCGTGCAAGCGCATCTACGTCCACGATAACATCTATGACAAGTTTCTCGCCGGGATGGTTGAGTTCACCAAGAACAACATCAAGATGGGCGGCGGCTTCGAGCCCAGCGTCGTGATGGGGCCCGTCCAGACCAGCATGCAGTAAGTACTACGCCCTTCTACTCTCAACCAATTCCACTCTGAAACTCCTCCTTCCAGGTTCGAGTTCCTGAATGACATGTACGCCCAGATCGAAAAGAGCGGCTGGAAGACGGCGCTGGAGGGCAAGGTGCGGACGAGGGGCAAGGGCTACTTCGTCGAGCCGGCCATCATCGACAACCCGCCCGAGGGCTCGCGCATCGTGGTGGAGGAGGCGTTCGGCCCCATCGTGCCTCTGCTGCGGTGGTCGTCCGAGCAGGACGTTATCGACCGGGTCAGCGCGCTTGAGACAGGGCTGAGCGCCTCTGTCTGGAGCCGTGACCTGGCCCGGGCCCAGCGCATGGCGCGCCAGCTCAGCGCCGGCAGCGTCTGGGTTAACTCGCACTTTGACGTTGCCCCCCACATGCCCTTTGGCGGGTTTAAGGAGAGCGGCATCGGCATGGAATGGGGGTTGGAGGGGTTCAGGCACTTCACCAACTCGAGAAGCGTCTGGGTCTGGAAGAAGGTGTTTGACTAAAGGAGTCGCAAGACCACGCTCTGTTTCCTCAATACCGCTAAAGCTTTAAGTTCATAGCACAATGCCACTCAATGTAGCACTCATAGACCTGGAAAATGTCTCGCCTCGCAGTGGATTGGCCGTATTTTTCATCAGTCCCACCCATAGGGCATCCACTGCCACGGACTGCTTTCTGAATTCTCCATGGGTCCGGCCCCGGCAGCCCAATCGGAGGCATGCCGAAACCCTGAACGTCCCTCGTCAAAAGGAGCCGAAGTCTGGTAGCGAATGCGGTCGACCGCAATGGGCTGCTTACGGCCATGCCACTATTTGCTGCCAACGTGCGAAAAGGGTTGCACTGGGAGGCGGGGACGTTGCGGCATGGAATGAGGTGGGATGGGAACTTCTCAGCGCCTTGACGTGCATACACGGGGATATATGGAGAGAACCGCCCTGATCGAAGTCGATATGGTCCGTCCTCCCCTCCGTCTTCTTGCACACCATGGTCCGGACATGCGCTGTTGCTGCCGCCGCGGCCGCGGCTAGCGCAGTCGCCCAGTCGTCGACGACGTCGGCCGAGTTTCCCTTCCCCACCGAGGGACTTCCGACCTACAATGGCACGGGGCCGACCATGCTTCGCTTCGGCTGCCATCAGCTCGTCATTGACCGCATCGACCCGCTGATCAGCCCCGGTCAGGTCCCGTCTCACCACCAGCACCAGGTCGTGGGCGGCGACGCCTTCAACGCCTCGATGCCTCTGTCCGACATCAGCGCCCTGTCGGCCTGCACCACCTGCAGCTACAGCGACGATTTCTCCAATTACTGGACCTCCAACCTGTACTTCAAGGCCCGCAACGGCACGTACAAGCGCGTCCGCCAGATCCCCAACAGCCCAGACTTCTTCACCAAAGACCCGTTTGTCGCTGCCACCAACGGCGGTATAACCGTCTACTACGTGTCGCCAGGCGCGGGCCAGGTGACTTCGTTCCCGCCCGGGTTTCGTATGTTCTTTGGCGATGCCATGCTGCGCTCTATGCCCCAGAGCCCTTGGGATTTGTCGACGCAGTCGTGCTTTCGTTGCTTCACTGGACCCAACTTTGAGGGCGACCTGCTCAGGCCTTGTCTAGACCCTGCTGTAGATAGCATGACCCTCCCTAACCGTCCCTGCTACGGAATTCGTTCCAACATTCTCTTCCCCACGTGAGTCCAAGCCACTATAACACTGATCAAATAGATGTCCAAGTGTCATGCTGACAATAAAACGCGCAGCTGCTGGGACGGCGAGAAGCTCGACAGCCCAGACCACAAATCGCACGTCGCGTACCCCGTCGAGGGTCCGCACATATTCGACGGTATCGACACGGCCGAGGAATGCCCGCCCTCGCACCCAGCCAAAATCCCGCAGATCATGCTTGAGGTACGGCCCCTTCCCACCTAACTTCTCACCTCGACCCGAAATATAGTCCCCAACTATCCAAGGTACTCACCTCTATCCTCCCATGGACAGATCATCTGGGACACAACCCCGTTCAACGACGCCAACGACTGGCCCGAGGATGGGTCGCAGCCCTTTGTGCTGAGCACGGGCGATCCCACGGGCTACAGCCAGCACGCGGATTATGTGTTTGGGTGGAGAGGCAGCGCGCTGCAAGTCGGCTTGGACGCCGGCTGCGTGGCTGCCAGCTGCCCCGGCATGGCCGTCCAAACGCTCGAGCAGGCCGCCCAGTGCACGGTTCCCGAGCTGGTTGATGAGAACTATGATGGCTGTGAGCAAGCTTGACCTGCCCCGGAGTTGAATGATACCTTACGGAAGAACTAACGGTGTAATCCAGGGCTTGAAAAATTGCCGGGTGATCCCTGGCAACCTCCTGTCACCACCGCTTCAAGCGCTGCGCCGACGTCGACAGGCAAGGGGAAGGGCAAGGGCTGTAAGCCACTAATTTTATAGTTGCACTGCCTGCGGCCACAATCACGAAGTTAAGGGGAACAAGTTGATTAAGGTTACCTATTCAACCTTTGGCCCAGGTGCTGCGATGATGCCCTGCATGTGATGTGATGTGAATGTCATGGAACAAACCCAGCGAACTCCAACAGTGGCCGTGAGCTTGCAGGCGTAAGGTATGTTCCGGAACCTCCGCTACCTGGCCCAGTCCGGTCCTCGCGGCTTTAAGTCTGCGGGCGACGAACCATCACCCCCTTGGACGGTACTACCGTACTAGTACATAGGTGTGATCTCTCGGAACAAGCCGCATCCTCCGCTGTAGCGCCCAGGCCTAAGGTAAGGCCCCAATAAGCGGCAGGTATTTAGTAATGCTACCAGCCGAAAGTGGTTGCCTCCAGAGCATCTATTTTGGATCAGCGTCAGCCGCGGGGCGATTAAACATGACCGTCGGCGTAATATCACCACCGAAGTCTCGGCCCTCCCGGCACTCCCAACCCGGTCGCTTTCTGGTACAGCCAACCCGTTGCTAGGCTTGGAAAACGTGCTCGGCTACCCGATGGTACTGGATCCAAAAACTCACCGCAATCGAGGGGGGCATTCCAGCCTTAATTGCAGTTGCCCTGTTCAGCCGCGGCTCGTACTTCGTATAACGTACCCATTCACCCTCTCCCTTCGGATCTTCGGAAACGCAGTCATATGTTCAGCTTGTAATCCTCCGTCTTGCCGCTCATGATATCCGAGAGTAAGGCAGTATGCCTGGGCTAGGAGTCATGCCCAGCGTACAGATATCTGGTAGCGTACTGAAGTGACAGCATCTGAAGTGTCCCTGCCACTTCTATTTAAGACTCCAGCTTCCCCACTTGAGCTCGTCCTGGGCTCACCACTCAAGATTCAGATTCCCCGGACTAACTAGAGACGAAACCAATCCAGCCATGCAGCTCACTCAGATCGCTACGTGCCTGAGCATTGTACTTGGTGCGACTACCGCTGCGGCGCTGGCTCTACCCGACCGGAACGAGCAGATGGTTCGATCGGTTACTGTTCCCTTCAACGGCAGCAGCGCCCAATTCTCGGCGACCTTGTCGCTGGATTTTGACGAGCCTATTCCTGCCGTCGAAGCCAGACAGCGTGTCGACGAAATCACAAAGAGAGGAGCAGAAGCTCCCATCGAGGTTGAGCTCGGGCGCCGGCTCGGCCCCGACTACATCTCTTGCGAAGGCAGCGGCGACTGGAGTGACTCCAACGGCAAGCTGACGCTGCAGTACATTTGCACTACCAAGTACCCTCTCTCGTGGAGCTTCAAGATCTCAGCCGCCGTCAAGAAGATCATTGTCAGCAACGTCAGCGAGAGGGGTCTCTCGTGGTGGCGCAACGGGAAGAAAATGCCCCAGAACGCGCCTCACGTCGAGGGAAAGGGATATGTCTTCCATGGGACCATGGTATGTGTGCCTATCTCTTGTGCGGGAAAACGACCATGAAGTCAGCACTGATAGTGTCAGACCGGGGCGAACCCCAACAGCAAAATCCAGTACCAGGATTACTTCTCTTTCCGCCACAACGTTGGCAGTGGCGGCACGGGGAGCATCACGTTTGCGGGAGAGGTGCACACGCTGCGTGACTGAAGCGGCTGAATCCTGAAGCACAGGAGTGCCGCCAAGGAAGTGTGATCTCCGCCTTGGCTGAGAAGGCTCCCCGGCTCCCGGTCGAGGAATGCAGTTCATGCAGACTCTGTTACATAGCTTTCCCTACAACGACCCCGTGCACCCGATAATGATGTCCTTTTCAAGTGTTTGGGACGTCAACTCCCACCGGCTTGCCGTGTCTCCGGACCGGACCATGCCACCACCGACTCGAGACAGGTACCGGTGGAATGAGAGCAAAATGATACAAGTGCCTCTTATCGTGCTGTTGAGCGAATGAATCTCTCCTTCCCTCGACCTACTTTAGCTATGTGTATCACATAAATCTTTCCCCTTGCACCCGTTTGTCTTCGTCGGCTCCTCAGTAGGTGCTTACAGTTACCCTCCCTCCACCCTACAGCTTCGGTCCAGGCCACCCTAATATCATTGTTACACCATCACAAGGCAACTGGTTGTCTGTTATTCTTTGGAGAATGTTTCGATATACAGGGTTACCCATCCTGGCGATGGCTTTGTCTGCGCTCGCCGATGACCACGCAGCCACCAGTGTCAGCACGCTCGACTTCAAGAACCAATTTGTGGCGTCAGGCATCGTCCCCGAAGTTGTCGCAGCTCTTGATCCCTCCGTGTCCTTCTACGCCAGCTACAAAGCGGGCGACGATGACCATGACGAGCTCCTTGTCCCTGGTTCCAGCCTGAGCGTTTCAGAAGCCACAATGCCCTTCGAGTTCAGCGTGGAGAATCTTAACAACGCCACAAATATCACGGCGCAGACACGCTTCTTGATCTACCTGGTATGTCCACGAGACAAAAAATCTTCCCTGACGCGACCTAATAAGATGTCGGTTCAGCTTGATGCCGATGCTCCAGCTCGAAGCGATCCAACAGCGAGAAACCTACGCCATTATCTCGCCGGCAACTATACACAGACGGGGCAACACTCGACTGTGCTACCCACTGCCCAGCTCCTTGCGGTTCCTAATGGACAATTCCGGCCGCTCACGCCGTTTACGAACCCAAACCCATCGCCAGGCACTGGTGTGCACCGCTTCATCTACGCTCTTTACACCCAACCGGCACGATTCAACAGCGCAGGCTTCGAGTCTGTAGGTATGGAAGCTGAAACGCAGAACTGGAATGTAAGCTTCAAGCTAGACAGTCCCTTCCTTGGTAGCACAGCGGATTAGCTAACAGAACTCCTGTAGCTATCGAGATGGCGGGCACAGCTGGGACTCGGGCCTGCTATTGGCGCAACCTTTTTCACGATCGACACCAGCTCGAACACAACTGGCACCTCAGGGGGGAGGACGAATAGCACTGCTGGGAGTTCCTCTGCTGGGACTGTGAGTCCCCCCTTGGGTTTTGGCTTTATGTCATTTCTCATGGCGCTCGTTCTCTTCAGGATGTAATCTCCGGTGATCGAGGATAATAGGACACCAGATCTCAGAGCAGCGCCTGGACAAAAGGGTCGATAAGGGAAAGGACCTATTCTCGGTACATTCAAGGAGAGACACAAACATATACTTCTCCGTTATGAAACGACACCGCCCTGCTTTCCTATTCATTGATCGTCCAAGTGCTTCCGTGGGCCTCGACGAACAACCTCTAACTCATCGTGCTCGCCGTTGCGAGAACATGCGCTCGATTGTTTCCCCTTCCCTGCGAAGTTGTGACCAGACATATGCCACCACTCCGGAAACTGCAACCTTTGGTCAGATTCTCCGGTCTACAATCCAAGTGTTTCGCCATGGAGATAGATCCAAGAGCGAACGACAGCCTGCGCGAAAGAGTATCCGTATGGCTTACCCACACCGACCACAGTCAGTCTCGGAATCATCATGCTGGATCTGCCTCTGGTGTTGACTGAGTTGGGACTGTGTCTCTCCAAGAAGTGGTTACAAAGAATAGGGATGTTACCCTGTTACTGAAGGCTTCAGAGTTGTCAGGTGGGCATTGGACCCGAGGCGCATTGTTGGACGGAATGGGGATATTTGGGGCATTGGCGGTCGGTTTGAGCTGAGGTCTTGGGTGATTAACTGAGCGGTAGGGAGATAAATGAATACAGCAATTAGAGGGAATCGTTGACCCCCAATTTACTTCAGAAGGGCTGGAAAACACCGGAGCTGATCTCATGGCAAACAACCTGCCTCAATTGCGGGATCCCTTACACCTTTTAGTCTCCTAGAACGCTCGCTTTAAGCAAGATCATGTCATGGGTGTACACTGATGTTCGTCTGATCTTCGAATGTGAATCAGGAGATTCGGTGTGGCTCTTCTTATCTAATCATGTGATAGTGGTATGACCAAACGTTCTAATAGCATGTTAATCGCCCGAGGCGCCGAGTTATCCATTCTTTTCTCGATGTCTGTAAGCCACAATACAGAGACGGAAGGACAACGGAAAAAACAGAGAAAACCAAAAAAAGAAAAGAAGAAAGCGATAAAAGCAAAAAAAAAAAAAGAAGAAAGCTACTAGAGGGGATGGATGACAGGCTCAGTTTTGACAGGATGGTCTTCGGTCCTTTCTTGTGCGTTCTCTCCAATCAATATTAAGCCCGTCGCCGCCATCGCCACCATGGCGCCGTCCCCACTGTCCCCCGCGCCTCGCGACAGTGTTCTTAAGCCTCTCTATTAGGTCATTGCCTTAAGCTTAGAGGCGTCGTTAGCGTCTCAGTTCTGGGCCACTGTCTTCAGGTGAATCAGTTCCCTCTCTGTTGTCGAACTCTGATTCGTCTCGACGTTTCAGCTCTGCTTCAAGCTTGGCGATCCGCTGTCGCTGTTGTGCACGTTCTTGTCGCTGCTTTGCGAGGTCGACCGCCTACTGCATATTCGCCTTTTCCATTGTCTCAACCGGATGCCATTGGTCCTTGCGGTGGCCTTCCAACTTCTTGTTCTCGACCTTGTGCTCCTGGCGCCTCTTCCGCGATTCCTCGAGGTTAGCGTTCGATCTCTCTGACCCCGGCGTGGAACTTCTGATTCCTTTTATGCGATTCCTTGTGGTCGGCTTTCAGCCTCTTTTTCCAGTCCTTGAGTTCATCATTTTCCTTCTGCAAGCTCTCGATGTCGGCTTTTCAGGCCCTCGTTCATGCTCTTGAGCGCCTCATTTTCCATTTCAATTCCAACATAACTTGAAGATTTGCCATGTTCTTCGATGAACGGACCTGTCGCCATGGTTGGCTGTAAAGACGTCCGGCGGGAGGAGCTTGCTCTAGGTGAATTGGCCTGGGGATGTCGCGTCTTCGAGACTATTTCGATGGGGGCTTATACGCGCATGGACTTCAGGGTAAGGCTGTTGAACTGAGTGGGTTCCTTGGCACCAAGATTCACGGACTGAGCACTGATGTTCAATGCGAGACTCTCAGTCAACACAGATCCATCACAATGACGCAGTTCCTGACATAAACGTCAATATCATGGCACACTGTCTCTATATAAGGGGGTAATTCCCCTGGGAGGATTAGAGAGGACAATTTGTTCCAAGAACAAGAAAGGGACATTCTGAGGCACCCTAACCCACTATCTTGATCCTTCATTTGTGTGGGTCACTCTGGAATCGTGACTCTAATTCAAGCTTCATTTCATACCTCAATCTGTTCAATACCCATTTGGTTGATCTAAGCTTACTCGAGCATGTAACTGTTGGCTGCCCAACAGTCGCGTCTCGCGTCCTCCCCTTTCAACTTCCGAACCACCACAGTTCGACATCATGACGCTCAATTTGGCTGGTTACGTTGCCAGTTTAACCGCCGGTCGTGAGAGGTTACAGGAGCTATCTCCAGGGGCACGTACAGCCATTTGCACCCTCGTTACAGCTGATCTCAATTATGATGTAGGGAATAATCTGTAACGGGCTGGGCCCGGTGCGAGCCTCGGCGACTCTCGGCCAATACCATAACCCCTGATGAGGCTATTCCCACTCGCCCCACAGCACACCGAACCTTCTAGCAACGCGCTCAGACCAGCGCGCCGACGAGGATAAGTATGCTTGCGAGCTACCAGAGTCTGTCGTCTCTCCTTTTCTTCTCCAAGTTCAGTGTACTCGTAGAGTCGTCATCAGCTAGTTGCAATATACTACCTGAGACCGTTACATAATCTGGGTAAGGGGGAAGAGCGAGCTTATAGTTATAGAACGTGATGAGGACTCTCCAAGGCTAGGATATACCGCAAGATCCTACTAGAAGGCCTTCGAAAAAGGTCTTTCACCTCATACGACGAGACCCGGCATTTTCAACTAGATAACGCTGAGATTTATATCTGCTGATCGACGGAGTAGTGGCTTTTATTGGCTTGCATATAGCCCGGATTTGAATCCTATTGAACACGTTTGGGGAGTTCTGAAGCGTAACCTACGGAAAATGTTCCTAGAGCTATGGACTCTGAAGCAAAACGTCTTGGATATCGAGAGGTTCAAAGAGTGTGCCTGCGCGTGGCGTGGGAGGCTATCCCATAGGTGTTGATCGATAAGCTGATCAACGGAATGCCGAACTGGCTGGCCGTAGTTAGGAAAGCCAAGGGTTTGTATACAAATATTGATGCCCGGGGCCTGGGATTTTAACAATGCCTAGCGTTTTTCTGCTACGACTTTGCAGTGTTGAGATATCCTGTGTTAAACCTCGAGGTAACTTATATAATGTGGGTGGCTGGGAGAATGTAGGGTGGCGGATACTTTTGAACCCCCACTGTAGGTACGGAGCTAGTTTGGGAAGAACATAAAGAGGGAGGATGAGATTGAATCCGCCCCTGATCTGCCCTTGCGGACGGCATGCCCTCAAATGACTGAAATACATTACTCTACCCTCACATAAGACTCAGCTGGATACTCACACAGAGGGGTAGGCGTGGGCAATCCCACCTCCCGGTGGAATTGCTCCAGCACCTCGGGACAGTTTTCGATATGCGCAGCAGGTTTTCCAACTGTTGTACTTACGCCCGAATCCTTCCTACTTGACCAGGTCCATTCGCCCCCTCCTTCCTTGTCGCCAGTCCAGGATTTTTTCGACCTGGAAGTACTCGGCTTCCTGGACCCCTTGAACCGTAGAAGTCACTCTTGAAGGGTGAGCGCGCGCCGTCGAGACGCTCTTCTCTGCTGGCGGCTTGCGCTGCTGAGTTTCCGGTGTATGGTACGGTAATTTTGTCATGATTCATACAATGATTCCACGTGACCCTACATCTGGAAAGTCGCTACTTAATCCATCGAAACGCGCTTAAGGACCGCGTTAAGTGGCTATTCCTCAAAGCTTGTAAAGGCGGCCTCTATCTCGGCTTCCAAAGCGCTCCCCCTTGAAGAATATGGCTTGGACTGCTACGATAACTTTGGCGGCGCTTTGGGCCTTGGTTAGTGGTGGTCTTGAGCATATGGTGATTGAGAGTTGGTGCACTGCAGACGTGTCCGTCGCTTGGGCGCTGTTCTGCGGGTTGTGGAGGCCGAAAGTGTTAAACCTGTGGCGTTTCCATCGTGGCGGCCGGACGACATCCTCATCCTCGCCTTGCTTGGCGCTACTTCCCACAACGGGAAAGCAGTCCTCCTCGTCGTCACTATCGCAACGACGTCAACGTCGATAACGACCATGCTGGCTGCATGGATGGCTTGGTATTGGCTAGCTCACATTCGTTACCGCTCTCACCTCCCGACAAACTCGGCATCCCTGCCCGACTGTACTCTGCTGGCAGTGGCACAGAACCATCCTCGTCCTGCTCTCCTCTCGTCCGGAACGAGAGAACGGCGGTGTTCTGGGTCAGTTGTTTGAACGCTGTTGTCGTAATACTCACGGTCCTGAAGGCGGCAGCTCCCGGACCTCAGTTGTAAATCGTCGTTTCTATAAATTATTGGGCACACAACATTCACGGGTGGGCGCAACTGACCACTGCGTAACACCCTCAAAAGAGGGACCGTGGTTCGAACTGTCCAGTCGAACCAGGAGTTGCGCACATGAACCTCACACTGTCACTACCCGTGACACAACAAGTAACTTATTAAGGTACCTTGCGATTAATTCTCTCAGTCACTCATGCGCTGGCCTGGGTCCCCCATCAGTCCGAATTCCGTTCCCGTCCGCTTTCGCCATGTCGCTTTGGCGACTTTCCAGGCGCCAAAGGCTTGTCCCTGTCTCTCTGCCGTCCCTAACCCTCCGCCGACGCCGACGGCACCAGCACCCGAGACACGTCGCCAGTATCGCCAGGCCAATGATAGGCACACCAACCATCAAGAACCACATCCCTATCGTCTCACCTTTGCTCCAGCGTGATGTCCCGTCGTTCCACTCACAAGCGCCTCCAGGTACAAAAAATGCATTGGGCTCGACAGTGGCGCCGGGCACCCAGGACCGAATCACGGGTGAGGTGGTGCAGGGGGCGAAGGGCGGCGGAGTTGGGCTGAGCGAAGAGATGTCGGAGGCGTCCCACGAGATGTGCCACGCGTTGTGAACTCGGAGACGGTGTGGTGAACCCGCGGGGGATGCGGTGGCGGTGGGTGCAGCCGTGTCAGTGGTGTTGGCGAAGCATGCCAGTGGGGTCCTGGAAAAGCCGTCGATTAGGAGGTCGTGATAGTGTGAGTAGGTGAACCCGCTACGTTTGTAAGGTAACTCGGTCAGCCATTGTGATTGTACCAACCCTGGGTTTTACCTAAAGCGGAACCTCTTACCTGGAGCAGCAGTAGGCTGTGGAGAACGTCTTGGAGGTGATGAGATTCATGCTGGCACCGTGACGAACCCAAGACACGGTGCCGCCCAGGTTATACGCCGTCCACCCGCTCGGGCAAACGGCCGGGCTGAACTGGAAACTGCTGCCCTCGCCACCCGAGTCCCATCCTGGAGGCTGGCAGGCCGAAAATCGGGGATCGGCTGGGCAAGAAGCGACAACGGTAACGTAGGTGGACCTGGATGCAAAGCTGGTCGTGATGAACTGATTCGCACAACTCTGCGGTAGAACAAATGGAGTCGTGAGCGCTTGGGGCGCTGCTCGTGTTGATGAAGACATTGGTGGCCTGGGGTGTTACGAGGACCTTCGTCGGGACTGGACTGGAGCTGAGGAGGCCAAAGAGAAAGAAACGGTGAGTGCAAATCCGTAAAAGAAGAATGGTGAGGTTACTTGCTCGGTAGCGCGTGATGCGGACGCGGTTTGTTACCGAAGGCTTAGTTGGGTATCACCGTCGGCGGTGGAGCAGCTACAAGGATTCTCAGGGTCGCATGAGCCAGGGTGCGAGCTTACCGCTGATACCTCCCTAAGTTAGCTCGAGTAGTCAGCTGCATACGCGCAGTGCCCTAGTAAAGGCAACCAACCAGGCACGTGTCTGGGCCGTTTTCTTATTGGCACTGGCCCCTGTTTGGGTACCCCAAATTTCCAGTCCGACTCGGTTGCTTTCAGGGGCTGGCCGAAGCAGTGGCCTTGTGCCTACCCAATAAAGGCACTGTTGTACAGATTATCTGGAACTATCATGGTACCTTTTGTCTTGCCCGTTATTGCATTAAGCAACATCTTGGTAAGGATGCTGTCTTTCAATTCGCTGGTTGAGCGACCTCATCAAGTATTCATGTGGCAGCAGCCTGGCAGTAGCGGTGTGTCTCGCTTCAGCTGTAAGGCGTCTGGTGCCATTGATATGTAGCCCTGGAGGTCGTGAGCTTGGGTCAGAGCTTTTGGTACCCCTTTCTTTTCCGACCCAGAATGCGTGTCACGGGTCGTGACAGTGTGAGGTTCATGTGCGCAACTCCTGGTTCGACTGGACAGTTCGAACCACGGTCCCTCTTTTGAGGGTGTTACGCAGTGGTCAGTTGCGCCCACCCGTGACAATGCGCTTCAAGATGTAGGGGACGGGGTAAAAATAAATAGGGCCTGTCTAGCAGAGCAGTGGGAATGTCTCGACGTGCCGTGGAAAGAGTGGGGCTGGGGAAAAGAGTTTTCCCGATGATAGCGAATTCCAAAAGGTACATCGTACTATTGGAGATCCCGATAACGTTATAACAATAGCCTTGCATCTCGCGAAGGCTCACTACATTCGTGGGATCCATCACGACCTGCATCATTTGTTTTCATCAAACTACTCCGTGATCTGCGACGAAACTGGTTCAATTGCTATAGTTACCCGCCTGCAACCTTGATACAGCTAGTGCCTGGGACTCCTCCATTTCCCCTTGCTCCTCTTGATCGAACAGTTCATCCAATCGGCCCTCGAATGTATGGGAAATGACCCCATCTTCGTGCCCATCGTCATCCCAGGATCCGTGAATGTCGTGGGCGGGAGGCGGACGTTGAAGAGTAGCAGTGGGGCACTGTGGGTGACGACGGCCGCGGACCGTCCGGGCCATCGGGGACCCCGGGGGCGTCAGGGAAAGCCGTAGGGAGCCGATCCATACAAATACAGGGCAGCAGTATCCAGGGGAGGTCGAAAACACGTTTGCAAGGGCCTTGGCAGTAAAGATAGGGTTGAAGATAAAGTTCGTTGATGGATCGTAGTGTTTCAGGTACAGGTTGTGGTTCAATACAATACAATACAATTCATTGACGCCCGGCGGGTAACCTGAAAGGGCAGCTATTACAATCTGACTATCCATTTCCCAAAATATGTCCTGATCTCGTCGAAGCCCATGCAAAACTCATTCTAGTTCATGTCCTCTCTTATACGATTCCTCTGCGGATTCTCCTGGGTTAGTAGGGTTGTTAGTAGGCTGGCTTGAAGGCGATTCTCCAAGTGTTCAACGTCTTATCTTCGGCGGCTGAAGCGGTGCCTGCTGTCCGTGGCACGAGGTGAGGAGTGTGGGTTGGGTGTGTTGTGGTGGGTTGGGTGGTTTAGTCGGCCTGTGGTTGGTTCGTGTCAAGGCGCCCTGTGGCCATTGCGAACCGTATGGTTGCCCGAACGGCTGCCATGTTGGGAGTCCAGTCTTTCTTATCCGATGGCGATTTCCCTCCTAGGTAGAACGAAATGTTGCTTCTGTGGGTGTCTGTGCATTCGAGCATCTCCGTTCTGTATGCCGTCCATTTTCTGCATCGGAAGAGGAAGTGGTCTCAATTAAGATAGGAGCGATCCGTCCAGGGCATTCAGAGAAGCTTGAATCCAACGTAAAATCGGCTTTTAAGAAGTAGAGCCGCCCTGCCAAGGGACCGCGAGATGGCGGCGGCGGCGCAACCTGAGGCAGTGATCGAGGTGGCCGACCGCCGACCCTCACCAAAACGACCGAGCCACGCCCCGAAACCGAGTGCGAAAGTCCGTGAAGCGATGCAATCACTGGAGGATACGGCCACTACGTCGAGGAGAACCGCAATTTATGCTACGCGAAGCACTGCACCGAGGGGAACACGCGTACTGGGAAGCGGAAGCGGAGCCAACGGCCAGGCGGAAGCGGGGAAAACAGGGCTCCAAACGCTCCTAGAAGCAATCAACGAACAGCGAAACGGGACGCGCGAGATAAATGCCGAACAACGGAACACAATCTGCGAACTGCGCGACGTGGTCAGCAAACAACAAGACGCGATTCAGCAACTCTGCGAGGAATTGAGATAAGCCCGAGACCAGATAGACGCCCTTATACGCAACGCAGCCCATCTCTATATAACTCAGCCGAGTCCAAGGGTGTTATATATGGAGGCTGCTTATACGCCGCCAGCAAGCTAACCGAGTTGGCTGCGAACCTTCTCCCTGTCGAATATAACACCGACGACCTTCACGGACACCCTGTTCTATATAGTTGATACGTCTAGAGTAGAGGAAAGTAAGAAAGGGAAAGTCCAAGTAGCAGCTATAAGGAAGGTAATCAAGGCAGAGATCCAGATATACGAGAACCAGAGAACCTGGCGATACGTAGTGGTAGTGAAGGAAGCCAGGAATCTAGAGCGGATCAGAGTGACCTGCAGGGACGAGAGCGACGTTGACCTGTGACGAATCTCGAAACGCCAACTTCTGAAAGGGACTTCTGAAGGTTTAATTGACAACGGGGTGAGGTTCGGTGAAGCCAAAGGGTTCACAACTGTAACGGTCTCAGGCAGTATATTGCAACTAGCTGTTGACGACTCTACGAGTACACTGAACTTGGAGAAGAAAAGGAGAGACAACAGACTCTGGTAGCTCGCAAGCATACTTATCCTCGTCGGCGCGCTGGTCTGAGCGCGTTGCTAGAAGGTTCGGTGTGCTGTGGGGCGAGTGGGAATAGCCTCATCAGGGGTCTTGGTATTGGCCGAGAGTCGCCGAGGCTCGCACCGGGCCCAGCCCGTTACAATACCCCCCTCCTCCCCTTCTTCATGGGGAGTTGTCAGTCCCTGACTCGCCCGTGAACTTCCTCGTACCTAGCTAGAGCGTCTGTGTGTAAGAAATTCCTGAGGGGTTCCCATGTCGGCTGCGAATAGCCCGTCCACTTGACGAGGAGCTGTTTGCCTCTCCCCTTTGTCCTGACCTTGAGGATCTCGTCCACTAGGTATGC